CATCCCGAGCTCTGGATGTTGGCTTACTACCAGCATTTGGTGTAGCACCAGCTTAAGTATTCACTATCCTATGATGTCTCAGTGGAGAAAAAGATACTTTCTGAAAGATCCAGCTGAAAGCTTAGCAACTGCACTGGAGACCATAGTGACCATTGCCAGCACTCATCAATAATGGAACACAAGGCCAGTGATAACTCCACTTCGGCTGTATATGGAGGCAGCCAACCAATGTGTGGAGATGCTGGCCTGCCACCCTGCAGCCACAGAACTCAACAAGGAAAGGAACAAAGGAAATATGGCCCCATCCCCAGTAACGTTAATACATCATAGGATCCTAGTAACTACCACCTCCTTTTTTTAAAAAATAAATTTTTTATTGAAAGATAAGTCCAACATACAGAAGATATAACGTGCATAAACCAATAAAACAGTATATAACAGTGATATTTCCAACAGTGATACTTAAACCTTACAGCATGTTAACTCCATAGCATCTCCAGGTAATCTAGGATTAATACAACTGCTAATCTAGTTGTGTAAATAGATCAAAAGAGTGCGCAGACCATAAAAAAGCTCATTACTTAAAGATGAATCCACTCAGAGTATCCGAGATTTCTTGGCAAAATGCCAGACCCTGCGTATCGTTGTGTGTGTATCTCATGTGTGTCAGCTATTTTGTCCATCACATAGTGATCCCAACATTTGTTCCTCCATTGATGAACGGTTGGAAGTGCCGTGGACTTCCAAGAGGTAGCAATGATGAGCGATCAATGTGGCAGCTGTGGCGATCAATGTGGCAGCCAAGTCTGAAATATGAACTTCTCTATCGTCTGAACTACCACCTCCTTAAGACTTTGCAGATGAGGGTGCAAATCCCCTCCAGCAAAACACATTCCTCCTTAACATGTATGGAAGGACTGCCTGGAAACTGGACCACTTTATCCAGACTCCTGTCCTGACAGGCCACTTGTGGGACTGTATGAAGCGAGAACTCTCTCACTGAAAGGCCAAGGCCTTCCTCCCCCACAAGCACCTGGGTCCTGGGGAAGAAGGAATGTCCTGAGGAGCAGTCTTTTGCAAGTCAAGGGGTTATAAGTAGTAGGATAGCAACAGGAGACAGAACATTCGCACAAGGTATCCCCTGTTATCTCCCCAATAGCTCGCTGTGAGGAAAGCACTCTTGAAGAAAAGAGAAGAGGAGATTGGATTTATACCCTGCCCTTCTCTCAGAGCGGCTTACAAACTCCTATCCCTTTCCCTCCCCACAACAGACACCCTGTGAGGTAGGTGGGGCTGAGAGAGCTCTCTATAGAACTGCCCTTGAGAGAACAGCTCTGACAGAACTATGGCTTGCCCAATGTCACCCAGCAGCTGCAAGTGGAGGAGTGGGGAATCAAACCCGGTTCTCCCAGATTAGAGCTCGGACACTTAACCACTACACCAAACTGCCAAAGGGGAAACTGGCAATAAGGCAAAACTCACTTTTTGTCCAGCAACAGGACAGTCAGCAGCAAAAGAAAAGGCAAGGCTAGGACCTGCACTTGCACTTTTTGATAAAAGAAACCTATTCCTGGGCATCTGGAATCTTTCACTGGGGCTAAGGTAGCAACAACTGCAAAGAAAAGGATAGATCTGAGTAACAGCACCAGCTTGGTCTGCATGAGGCCCCAGCTGACACCCTTCATGAAAATAGCTACAAGATGTCCCTAGAAGAAGTACTCTCAGTATCAGACCTAATCATTGGGGATGTGCCATTCATTCTCATTGGCTGTCCTAGACACCAACAATTTTGCTTCACAGCTTCCCTGTAGCTACCCTCCACTGCATTCAGTATGTTCATTAATTTTCCTGTACATTCCAGCAACCATTGTTGTCTGTTTCCTTCCCACCCACCCTCCTTCCAGGCTTATGTAGGCTGCACGGTTTATAAGACCCCAGTAGTGAACAGGAGAATTGTGAACCCTGAAGATCCTGTCCCTCCTTGATACAGTATAGCTGTTCAGACAGAGCTGACCCTGTTAGGCCTCTCCCAAAGTGATTTCCATGCTGAATACATCTAAATAATGAGCAGAGTGCATGAATCAATTCATAACTGCTGCACCTCAATCAGTCAAAGAAACAGCTTTGAAACAATCCTCACATTTATTGACCAGAAGCAGGAACAGAGTCCTGAATGCCAGTAAGAATAACGGGTTTGCCACCACTTTTGTTCTAGCAATGCTGCTGTGTGGTTGAAAGCTGTATTGACAGACCTCAGAATCATAGGCTGTGTCGTCTCTATCACTGCATGCTCATGATTTGTACAGTTATGGTGGTCAGAGAACTATCAAACAGCTGGTAGAGCATGATAAGAACAAGAGACTTAACAAACCCGGAACAGAGGTTAGTTTAGGTTGCCTCTGTTGGTCATGTTGTAACCTCAGTGGATGATGGCACATCACTGTAGGGTCCATCATGAGCTCTACTCCTGTTGGAGAGCCAAAGGAAATACAAAATATAGAAACACAAAGCTGGAAAGAACCCCAAGGGTCATCTAGTCTAACCTTCTCAGCAATGCAGGAAATTCACAGCTACCTCCCATAAGATAAGTTAATGAGTCATATTCATTCATAGGAACAAACAGCAAGCTGGTTGAAGCATTCTTCCAGTTCCTATACATCCTTATCTCTCTTGAGGGTTTCTATGTGATGAGATTCACCAGCTAGATGAGCTGTTGGTCACTGGACCAGTGCTTAGTATTACCCATCCCTTATAGAGAGGTTGACTGGAACTCTATGGGCACTTTTTGTTTGAGCTGCTCCCTGAGGCTCTTATCCTGGAAGGCAAAAGGTGCTATGAACAGCGGCAGCATCTGGAGCATCTGGTGGTTACCCAGAAATAAAGGACTACCCACATAACATAATGCAGCTCACTATGCTGTGTGAGTATATATAAGAACATAAGAGACGCCAATGTTGGATGAGGCCAATCAGCAGCTTCATCCAACACTCTGTGTCACACAGTGGCCAGAAATACCAGTGCCATCAGGAGGTCCACCAGTGGGGCCAGGACATTAGAGGCCCTCCCACTGTTGACCCCCCCCAAGCACCAAGAAGACAGAGCATCACTTGCCCCAGAGCCCCTATCTATACCTTGTGGCTAATAGCCACTGATGGACCTCTGCTCCATATGCTTATCTAATTCCCTTTTGAAGCCGTCCATGCTTGTAGCCGCCACCACTTCCTGTGGCAGTGAATTCCAAGTGTTAATCACTCTTTGGGTGAAGAAGTACTTCCTTTTATCCGTTCTAACCCGACCGCTCTGCAGTTTCATGGAGTGCCCACTAGTTCTTGTATTGGTTGAAAGTTGTATTCAATATGTTGAATGGTATAAAGTGTTATGCATTCTGTATTTATTTTTTACAAATCTAGTGAAGCTAAGACATATCTATGAGGGGGGGGGGAGAGATCCATGCACAGTTATTCATATATCCTCCTATTCAATGACAGTATGGGGGAATCTATATTTTACCCAAAACTGAGCACATAGATGAAAGCATAACCCTCCCTTTAACCTTTAACCTTCATGGAATGGCCTCCTCAAGGAGGTCAGGAAGGATCCCGCTCTCCTGGCTTCCCACAAATGGATGCGAAGCTGAATTATTCAAGAGGGCTTTTCTACTCAGGCAATACGGTCGCACTGTACAGAGTGGCTTACAAGGTTACTTGGACAAAGGGTTAGGGACTGTGGTCCATACTGCTATACTTACAGTGTCGCTTACTGTAAGTAGGATCCTATTATGTAAATTTTGCACTACTTAATGGGCCATGTTAATACTTATGCTCTGCTTCGTTTCTTTCAGGTTGGTTCCGGACTTTTAGAATCCTAATGCATTCTTTATTGAATGTCCCCATTTTGCTGATTGTACTGACTCAGCTAGGTGTCCTTGACTCTCTGAAAGGCGGACTATAAATAATGTGACTAAATAAATAAATTTCCCTTCTCCTGTCCTCCCTTACCACGCTGTGCTTTGCCACTTGAATTTTTTTTTCTTTCCACCCTTCGCCCTTCCTCAATCAAATGCTACATTTTTGTTCGAAGAAAAAGCATCCCCCACTTTATTTACATGGGGACATGAATATAAGTACCCTTGTCTAATTACAAGTGCGTCATGCCTAAATACATCAAGTCTAATTTAGCTCTGTAGTTATGTTCACGATGCAGCCAGGCAATCACACTATGAGTTGGATCCTGTGGATCTATTCTGCTAACAAAGGTGCCTTTTCCCCATGCAAGAGGCTTTTTTGTGTAAGAGTCTTTCGCATCAGGGAAAGGGGTTCTGTGCTGGGAAAAGGTGCACCAGATCTATAGGATCCAACCATTTGTGTCAGTTTGACCAGCCTTGTATGATTCTGTGATGCTGAAATGCCTTGGAATAATAATAGGATACAAGTGACCAAAACCCCTTTTTTCAAGTTTTAATATGAATGTTCCAGCTATTCACGTATTTATGCTTATGAGCTATATATATGCCTATGATTGTGCGCATATGCAAACATACTGCCAAATAGTTAGGAATGCTAGTCAATCATTCAAGCTATAGTCAACTGATGAATGAATTGATTCAATCTACTTAAACTTGCATTTGAGAAATTATAGAGCTAAAGTAAAAAACCAACTTGTTTTTTTATTAACAAGGTGCACCTTTTTTACTCAGTCAAAATGTTTTAAATCAATCTAAAGTGCAATCATAAACATGTACACTTAGAAATAATCCCGTTGAGTTCAATAGGATTTACTCCCTTGTGAGTGTATTTAGGACTCCAGCCCTAATTGGTTAATTAATTTAAAAAGCCACATGAAGAGAAAGATACATGCCACATTCTTGGTATTGCTTGACTAATTATTAAATTCTTTTCATTTTTTCTTACAGTCTTCTGCCCTGATTATCTATCTAGCTCTGTTCTTCCTGGAATAAAAGGGGGAAAATGATGTTATGCTTCTTTTTGTTGGCTGGACTTATGCTGGCCTCAGCCAGAGAAAAACGCCTTCCAAGAACACTTTTAAGTCAAAGAAATGATGCTGCTTTACTTGGTGAGTTGCTACAAAGGCATGCCAAGCGTAACAACTGTACACATCTCAACACTTCAAAATGTTTGCAGGATGATACAGCTTCTTTTGAGGAAGGGGTTATTTTTCTGAAAGGAGGAGGAATACTAATAGGATAAGGTTTGGGAGAAGAGGAGTATAGTTTTGAATACAAATAAACTGGTTCATTAAAATAATTTATATGAGCGATATTAAGTCAACATACGAAAAACTGGTTCCAGAGGAATGCTAATAATGGTAGAGGAAAGACATTTAATTGTTTCTTCCTTCAGACCCCCCCCCTTCACAACCAAAACTGTATTTCTATCCATGAGGATTTTAATGCATATGAATTGGGCCTTACGAGGGAAAACACTACCTGGAAAGGTGGTTAGGGATGTGCACAGAATTTTAAATTTGTTTTGTTGTTCTATTTTGCTTAGAATACTGAATCACCCAAGGGGCCCTCCCTGCCAAAATTCAGATAGATAGGCGAAAAAGGCCCCTGTTTCATAGGCAATTAAAATTCTCACTTGCAGAGCAAACAGAAGGTTGCATGACAGCCTTGATAGGCGAGTTTGTCTTCCTTTTCCCAGAATCCCTAGGAGTGAGTGAGAGTCTATTTTTCAACATGAACAGACCATGCAGGTTTTAGGAACTAATTCACCCCCTCCAATTTCACTGTGCTCCGATGATGGCACCTGTACTGGTGCAGCCCTCCCCGGAGACAAGGGTTTGGATTTCAGCAGGGCAGGTTACAGGCAAGGTTGCAAAGAGTAACCAGGGTCCAGTCCAAAAGTAAGGGGATCCAGATAGCAGGTATGCCAAGTACAGCCTAGGGTCATAAGAACATAAGAGAAGCCAATGTTGGATCAGGCCAATGGCCCATCCAGTCCAACACTCTGTCACGCAGTGGCCAAAAATACCAGGTGCCATCAGGAGGTCCAGCAGTGGGGCCAGGACACAAGAATCCCTCCCACTGTTGCCCCCCCCAGCACCAAGAATACAGAGCATCACTTGCCCCAGACTGAGAGTTCCTGTCTATACCTTATGGCTAATAGCCACTGATGGACTTCTGCTCCATATACTTATCTAATTCCCTCTTGAAGCTGTCCATGCTTGTAGCCGCTGCCACCTCCTGTGGCAGTGGTCAAGGGATCCAAGCAGCAAGTCCAGGGTCAGGGGTTCCAGAAAAGCCAAAAGTCAGGTCCAGTCCAAGGGTCAAGGCTCTAGTGGTCCAGTAACAGCAAGGTCAGTGGTTCAGTAACAATATATACTTGTTGCATCTGTGAAATTGCTGCTTCTCCCAGCTGACTTTATAGTCAAGTCTTAACGAGCTAACCTCCCAGCCAATTCCTTGGCAGTTATCCTGAAACTTCTAATCCATGTTATGGGTTGATAGCTGATGACAGGCCATGAGTCTCACACTCCTCTTCCTTTCCTGCAACTCTGTGCTTCTCTGATAGTGTCGACACTGAAGGGGTATGGGTGAGCTAGGTGGGCTGGGAGTGGCTTCTGAAGATTTGTTTACTACTTCAGAGCTACAAGGTGATGGTTCAGTTTCAGCTTGTAACCTGATCTTTTGTTGCTCTCCTCCTGGCTCAGAGCCAGCTGCAGCTGGTTGTTCAATTACCGGCTGAGGGCTGGCTGCAGGCAGCTCTTTGTCTGAGGAATCCGTGCCATCACTAAGCACAGACTGACTTATGACAGCAGCAGTCAGGTGGACTAGGGCAAAAATGCTGAAATCAGAACCAAGCTGTGAACGAGTGAGGGGTCCCTAAGCCTTTTGAGTCTGCAATCACCTTTGGCATTTTGAGAGAGGGCCATGGGTGTTTGCACTGTCTCCTAGCCTCAGACTTCAGAAGGGGACTATAGAGAGCCAGAGAGATAGATAGATCAGGGCCTGTGTATTCCTCCTTTCTACTGTTCTGGTGCTCTCCTTTTGATGTGTAGATTGCTACTCTCAGGGAATCTTCCTTCCTTTCAGCTAACTTCTTCTCTCCCCCTCCTTTCATCTTGCAACCGTGAGAGCGAGACATGCTTTCTACATCTCCATCTTAGTTTAGCTAGCTAATTTAGTACATTAGTTCTACTCTGTCCTGTCTAGAATGGAGTTACTTACAATAAAGGATTCCGTTTACTAAGATAAAAGGCTCCAACTCAAATTCCGCTCTGCCATATGCAGTCTGCGGTTCTGGTAATCAGTACCACCACAAGATGGCCACCACAGGAGAAAGAGCTAAGCACAAAATGTCAAGGAGTTAGATTATACATAAAACTCTTATGGCAGCAGCTCTTCATTAGCCATTAATGTGTTTGTGTCTCTTTATATGTTACATGGATATGTTGTGCATGTACTGGAGAAGAGAGAAAGAGTATTTCTTCTTCTGGCTATTACCTTGATCAGAGTAGAGTGGGGACAGGGCTCTAAGATGTGACCCCAAGCCTAAAAGCAGCTACCCACAATGAGGGCCTCCCAAGACTGCAGGACTGGGCCAAAGCTCCCTCCTTGCAGGATAAGGGTTGGCTGGGTCACAAACCTCGCTCACCATCATGTTCTCCCCCTTTTCTGCCTCATTTGATTCTCTGTGTTTTATTTCACTTCTTCACATCTCCTGACTACTGTCTTGCTGACTGATAGCCACCTTGGTGCAATCTCCCCCTCCATCTGCATAGCAATCACCATGCTGAACTCATGAAGCTGCTTTACACTGAGTCCAGGATGAAAGCGAGCTCCCAGGGGTAGTGACAGGGGGGTGAGGGGAGAGAAGGGCCTGCTGTGGCAACCAGGACAGGCACCCCATGGCAGGGCCAAAGAAGGAGGGGACACCCAGGAGGAGGGTGATTACCAAGGTAGGCAGCAGTTTATTTGCAATCCCACATAACTTTGGGTTGGAGCTACTGCAGACATCTGACAATAGCTGTGTCAAAGCAGGAACTACATGTCAATTAGAAGCCCTGCTAGTTCAACCCCCTTTCTAAGTGCCTTGACAGGTACCAGGAACGGAATTAGGTGGGCACCATAAGGTCCATGGAAGCATTATGTAAAAAGTAGACACATTATGTTTTAAAAAGTCTGTGGGACAACCTTTTTGATGGAAACTTTTCTGGTAGGAAGACCCTGTATCACATGATTTGCTGAGTAACTCTTCTCTTGCTAGTCTCTCAGAAAAGAGAGGGTTTTGTTTGGGTTTTCATTAGTTAATATCCAAGTGCACATCCCTTTAAGTAATCTGGCTAATTGTAGAAGGAATTAAGCAGATACATATGTGCTGCTTCTCCATTGTTGATTGCTGTCCAGAACTGGCCTTTTCTGTTTAGAAAGGGCTGTCTGAACAATGTTGTGTGTTTGCATGTAAAGTCTAGTTAGGCCTTTAGAGTGGAACATACATTTCAGGAAAATTCTGTTAACTATGAGCTCGTCTTGAATTGTGTAATGCTGGCTATGAAATTATTGCTTGGCTTGTGTAATAGTACCCTGGAATTAACTAGAACAATAAATCTACCCTGCTAAGAGTTCAACCAGATGATCTAATGCACATTTTCTATTTCCATTGCTTATAAATGTAAAGCAAGGTCCTAATAAAGAACATTAGCTTACCAGTAGAATGTTGGACTCTGAATTACAAGAAAAAAAATACATGGTTTACAACTACTATTTTGATTCTTACCACTTAATATTGTTATCCTTGAGAGCACTGCTTCAGAAGTTTAAGTGAATAAATACATCCAGCAATGTTCCCTCTAAGCTGTGGAGTCTTGTGAGCAAAAATTCTACTTTGTGAGCTACTGGGCATTAAAGTTGTGAGCGATCCATTTGGCTACTACATCAATTAGTGTGCTCTGGAGTCATTCTTCCTGAGCTAAGGAAAAAGTGTGTGAGCCAGAGGCTAAAAAACTGTGAGCTAGCTCACACTAACTCAGCTTAGAGGGAACACTGACATCCAGTTCTATCGTTTAATTTTGAATTTGTCGATGGAAAAAATAACTACATTGTGGGGGATGAACTGACAGTGGAATGCTATGCAGAATTATTCCGACCGAAGACCATTGATTTCAACGAATTTTGACTGGAATAACTGCATAGGAGTTACTAAGGAATCAAATAGCTTCCCTTAGAAACTTGTTGCTCATACTGAAAAAATATCAGTAGGCTTTGCAGGTTATATAGGAGGAAGCAGAAGGCCATTAGTTGCCCTTAGTTACCTGACCGGAAGGTATCTCTCTAGGGGTTTCTGCTAATTAGTTTGAAGCCGCTTCAAAACTCAATTTGAGTATGGCATATAAATATTTTAATTCATACATAAATAAGTGCCTGTAGTCCAGCCAGCTGTCTTGTGTAATGAGTTTGGAGTTGGCGCATGGATCTCCCCGTGAAAGTCATGTCAGTCTGTGGCTCAGTGGTAGAGTGTATCTGCTTTGCGTGGAGGAAGTCCTCGGCTTAATCCCTGGCCTCTCCCGTTTAATTTTTTAAAAGTTCAGGTAGTAGGTGATATCTGAGGCTCTGAAGAGCTGTTACCAGTTGGAGTAGACAATAGCAAGGCTCCCTCTAAGCTGTGGAGTCTCGTGAGCAAAAATTCCACTTTCTGAGCTACTGGTATTAAAGTTGTGAGTGAGTGATTTGGCAAATGCATAAATTAGTTTGCTCTGGAGCCCTCCTTCCTGAGCTAAGACAAAAATGTGTGAGCCGGAGGCTAAAAAACTGTGAGCTAGGTCACACTAACTCAGCTTAGAGGGAACACTGGACAATACAGACTTTGAATGGCCAGTTGTCTGACTCCATATAAGGCAGCTTCACATCTTCACATGACAGTATCTATAAAGAATATATTTATTAATTACTTCGTTATTCTCTACTTCCCCCCCCCCAATGTAGACCCAAAGTGGCTTACAACATTCTCCCCTTCTCCATTTTATCTTCACCAGCAAGGTTCCATGGGAGTGTGGGGATTCAAACCTGGGTCTTCCAGATTCTAGTCTGACACTCTTAATCCGTACACTATAGTGGCTATATATATCAAATATATCAGCATTATGGCTTCTACTTTCACTGTATTTCGGTCAAAAAAAAATTATAGCGGAATTTTTAATACAAATCGTAAGAAACTCACACAATATCTTTTTTTCAACTACATCTGAATCAACATTAGAGAATTCCAGCTTTACAGCATAGTTGGAAGAAAAACAAGTGAAGTGGACCTACTTTCTCAGTTCCAGGGACCAGAATTCCTAGTTTGGGCTCATGTACAATGTTGACCAGACTAAATATAGCCCTTTTCTTTCTGATGTCATTTCTGCAAATATCTCTCTATCTGTACGTAATTATACTACTATGATTATTAGTGTTTTATTCTGGTCAAGACATAAGCTGTAATTTGCTACAAAAATGAGATAATGATATGGAAAATGGATAAATATGCCAGCATTTCTGAATCCTATTAGGAGTGAAATGCTATTTCTGCTTATTTTTGGCACATGTTCAGCATCCCCTAATTTTGAATAACTGAGCAACTTTTCTATAGTTCTCTGTCTGTGAAGAAACCTTGAAGTGAATAAAACCATACAGTTACTTCATAGTCTGCAAATAGCATCGCTGTTCCATACCCACAATCATTTCTGATTGCTGACAAAAGGTCTGCAAAGAACCAAATGGAAATAGGGGCATTTCCTGTCCCTCAATTACTTGCACAAACATGTGGTTTATATCCTTCAGCAATTCAGAATGCAATAAGAGATCAAGTAAATTATTTAACTTCCTTTGACTTTGCAATGCCCTGAACCATATATGATGTAGTATTGGCTTCCATAACCTTGTAATAAGCAGTCTGAAGATAAGAGCCTATAACATTAAATATCTGCTACTAGTTGCAATGTAGCCTAATTTCCTATAAGAGCTACAACAGGGCTCAATTCAAAGTTATGCATGTGGAACAAAGTTTGTGGTATGGGACTTTCCTGCCTCTTCCCTCCACTGCTGCCCACTGAGACCCACAAAATACTGTATTTGGAGGACAGGGGACTTACACAAATAGTGTGGGGGATGAGATGGGTTTCTGCAATGGGAGGAGGAGGAGCCAAAAAGGAACCTCCCCCTTCCACCAAGAGAAGTGCTGTTTGGCTAGCCTAAGTGCTGTTCTAATGGTGGTTTATAGAATATATATTTATAGAATATATAGAATATCTGGTTTATAGAATATATTTTGTTTGCTGGTTCTCATTCCAAATCATTGCACTCTACTTGACCAATCTATGTTAATTTGGGAATGGTTTCCCATATATAGCTAGTTGCATACATCTTGTCTTCTGTTTCCCTCCCCCTCTAGAAAATTCTTGCAGTAACAAGCAGCTAGACCTTGTATTCGTCATTGACAGCTCTCGTAGTGTTCGCCCTTATGACTTTGAAAAAGTTAAAGAATTCATCTTAACCATCTTGCAATTTTTGGACATTGGCCCAGACGTCACCAGAGTGGGTCTCATTCAGTACGGCAGCACGGTGAAACACGAATTTTCCCTGAAGACCTTCAGGAGGAGACAAGATGTGGAGAGAGCAGTGAAAAGAATGATGCACTTGGCTACTGGTACCATGACAGGATTAGCCATTCAATACGCAATGAACATTGCGTTTTCAGAATCTGAAGGGGCTCGGCCACTCAGCCAGAATGTGCCCAGAATTATCATGATAGTGACTGATGGAAGACCTCAGGATCCTGTGGCAGAGGTTGCAGCAAAAGCCCGGAACTCAGGAATCCTTATTTTTGCTATTGGCGTGGGGAGGGTAGATATGAACACACTCAAGTCTATTGGGAGTGAACCGTATGAAGAGCACGTCTTTTTGGTAGCGAATTTCAGCCAGATTGAAACCCTGACTTCTGTGTTCCAGACTAAACTTTGTGGTAAGATATACATTTTACAAGCTTTACTGAAAATATTAAGTATTTAAAAAGAAGATGTGCCCATATACAGATGACCAGAATTTTGAACAAAACAAAGAGATCAAGTCTATAGTCATATATACAAATAAAAGATGACTTGGGTTGGATCCCATGATCATTTGCTGAGGGGGAGGGGTTTCCACTGATCCTTTCGTCCTGCAGCAGACCTTCAGTTCCCCCCTCGTGTTGTTCATGGAAGGTTGCCTGTCAAATGGCAGCATTTCAAGGGGGGTGTTGGGGCTGCAGCAAGGAGGGGGAAGCCATAGAAATCCTTCTCTCAGCTGAGATTTTTTTGGCAGGATGCAACTGATTGTAATATTCTTGGAGAACAGTTCTTTGTCTAATTGTTATACTTCTGTATGCTCTTTATCATTTTGATGTCTATAAAAGTTTTCTGGTTGAAAAGAACATGTTGGTACATACTTTATGACTATAATAATACTGTTCCTCTTCTCTGCTGAAAAATTTTTTTGGACAGTTCTTCTATCATCTATCTGTCTATTAGAGACAAAATTTAGTTTAATTATGCAATTATGAGTTAACATTTGGTCTTTTTCTTTCAGTCCAACACATGTGCAGCATCATAAAGCATGGTTGTGACCATTTCTGCATCAACACACCTGGCTCTTATGTATGTAAATGTAAGCAGGGATATATTCTAAATTCAGACCAGATGACTTGCAGTAGTGAGTATTCTGCTTTATCTTTCTTATATCTAACATATTCATAAACATATTCTTTTGGGTGGTAGAGAATAGAAGGACTCAAATGTGAGAGGACATTTTATATGAATGTGTTCATAGTTTCTTCTTGGAAAATGAGAACATTTCATATCTCATCTGATTCTGACTAGTAAAGTAAAATGCCCGGCTGGATATATTATTAGTGCATTAACATCTAAAAAGTCTGGAAAAGAGCATCACAAAATGGAAGTACCTATTATAAGAAAAATGGGGATGCCACTGAAAATGGCAAAATCCCCCCCCCCCCACAGTCTGTAACGTGTAGAGCAACTTGTGTCCTGAGGTTTTTCTCTGTTCCACAACATGGGCTACCATTGGCTGGAGCAGAAAAACAGTATAATTCCACCTGTAATCTATACTGCCCTTTCCAAAAGAAGAAGAGAACTCAGCAGGATATTCTGGAAACGAGTCAAGATGCATAAGTAACTGAGTGATATGTATAGATAAGATTGGATTAAAGCAGTTGGTAAGACCTGTGAATAGCAGCAAATTAGCATACAAATAAAAGAGTTAACAAGTGAATGTGAGAACTAAGTATGAGTCCAATGGCACCTTTAAGACCAACAAAATTTAATGCTGGGCATAAGAGAGCTTAGCACGTGTAGTGAGATAAGAACCCGATATATCTGTCAAGTCCTGGGGTTCCATTGTCCTGAGTGTTGTAATAACTTGTAATTCAGCAATCTCCTATTCCAGTCTGTTCAAGGCCTATAGTACCTTAAAGACCCATGAGATTTCTGGGGTATAAGCTTTAAGAGAGCGTTGATGCTTGAAAGCTTATACCTTGGAAATCTTGTTGGACTTTAAGGTGACGCTGGCACTACTGCGGTCCAACAAGGCTACCCACCTGAAACTGCTAGCGTAGTTAATGTACCTAGTCCAGTATCCTTCCCTACCTCTAATCCCCTGTCCCAGAAAACCTTTTCTTTACATTTTGCATTTCTAGGTGTTTTGGGTAGGGATTGCATTTTTTCCCTCGCTCATTGACAATTACATTCTGTCCCAAAACTGTGCATGATATTTGCTATTTCTAAATTGCTAGATGTTTTCTAGTATACATGATAAAGATACATCTGCAATTCTCTTTTGTTTTTGTCTTTCTCTTTTGTTTTTGTCACCCTGCAGAGTGACAAACAAGTAATTAGCATATGTATGTCAACTGGATTCATGTGGCACTTCGGCGCTTAACATTTTAGAAAATTTATTACTGTTCTTGTAGCAAAAACCATCAGAGCAGAATCCTGTTGCTCTTCTCGTTTTAAATTTTTTAAAAAAATCATTTTCTCATTAAAAAGTGGGATACAGAAGGGAAGAAAGGGTAGGGGGGAAATATCAATTCATCATGTTAGTTTCGCGGGTCCTCATCTAAAGCTAGATCCCTGAGGTATTTTTTTCCTAGCAAGTATGGGGGTGGCGGGGGGAGGTTCCAGAAGATTTTGCCCTTCCTTGATAAATAGCAGCTATGGAGGTACAAACTGCTGATGGTGCTGTGAGACCTTTTTTTGTTGTTGTTCCATAGACATGGTAAATATAGAAACATTGGGTTGTAGCCTCACTTTCTGCCTGCTGAAAGACCCTTGGAAGAGGGAGACCAATGGAAGAGGGAGAGTGGTTTTTGCTAATCCCACTACAGACTCGCCACATTGTGCCTTGGGGGTTTCCCCTAATACCTGAGGCAGTATTTCAGGGCACTGAATGGGGAATGGGGAGATGGGATAGTTCTGTTCTGTGACAGTAGCTGTGCTTATGGTACTCTGGATTCAACCCATTCCTTATATGTAGGGTTGGATCCAACAAGCTTTTCCACTGATGAAAAAGGAAGAAGACTGTCCCCTTTGACCCCGCCCCCCAAAGGCTATGCTGGAGGTCATGGAACCTGCATGGACAAAAGGCATGTGCAACAGGGGCTGGAATAAGTAGGTGGAAGTAGGTGAGACTGAGTGAAAAAGCTGTCTGGATCCAGCTCACAGAATGTAGAAAAACAGCAGATGCAGTTTAGCAGGAGTTAGGTTCTAATTAATGCAGTTCTAGGTTGCTTTAGCTAGTGCCTTTGCTGTTGAATCTCTAAAAACATGTAAAGCCAACAATGCATTCCTCAGTTGTTCTCTAGTCTCGGCAGAGATAAATCAGACATGTTTATATTCTGTGACAATGCATTGTCAACATATTCCAGATGTATTTGTCTAAGGTCTAGGATCAGTTTCCAATTAATTTTTTCAAAGCCAGTTGCCGCACAAAGTTTGCAGTGCACAGATAACTTCAGTAATCTCTTAAGAAAAATACTGGCTGCAGTCCAGAATTCATTGAAATCAGTGGTAGTACTTTCTTTCATTGTAATAGTATTGAGGACCGTACCAGTGGATATAGCAACTAATACCGAAGGCTTGTTAATTTTTGTTAGCACTGTCTGGTGTGTGCAGTCAGTTGGACCAGTTGAGGAAACATTGTGAGTCAATGACTTGAAGGCATCAACTCTAAATTCTCCAAGACCTTTCTTGCACAGTGCCATCAAAAATCCTCTATTAGGTTTTCTGAAATAGCTTTTTGTGCCATTTTCCTCAGTACCATTTTGTTCATTGATTAGCCACATAGTAATATTATCCAATTTCAGTTGCATACAAGCCATTATGACGGAGACCTACACCTGTGAGAGGTGTGCAAAGAGCTGGAATAACTAGTGTAATTTCTAATAGAAGCTAAAGAAACGGTGAAACAAAGGGTCGCCAATAAATATAAAACCACTGACCGTGCAGATCAGGCCATTTTCGTTCTCGATGCCGGTATTGTGGAATTTCCTCCCTGGGAAGGTCTGCTAAAGCTCATCCATTCCTGTTTTCAGTAAGATAGATTCAGGGGGTAGCCGTGTTGGTCTGAAGCAGCAGAACAAAGTTTGAGTCCACTGGCACCTTTAAGACCAACAAAGTTTTATTCTGGGTATAAGTTTTTGTGTTCATGCACACTTCTTTCAATAGGTTTACAGAGAAAGAATTATTTAAAGGGTTTTTTTTAAGTGATTGGAATTTTACTGCCATCTTGTGCAGTTTGTTGGTTTGGAATTTATGGGGAGGGTTTTTTGGATTTGCACTGCCAATGTTTCGTTTGTGTAAACATCTTTAAAAAGTATTATCCACTTTGAATATTCTGCTCTTCTCTGGGGTACCCTAGCCTAGCCAATAACTTCTACTATGTTCCTGTGGGGGAATAACTCAATTGGAGTAAATAATCAGGCCAGTGCCAAGCACAAAGGGTACAAACAGGCTGCACATAAGCTCCTACTAAGAAAAATAATGCCCCTGAGAAGCAGTATGGTGTAGCAGTTTGAGTGCCAGTGTAGGTTCTGGAAGACTAAGGTCTGAATCTCCACTCTGCCTCGAAGCTTGCTGGTTGACCTTGCTGGGCCAGTTACACACTGTCAGCCACACCCATCTCACAGGGTGATAAAATGGGGAAGTGAGAACCTGCCATGCGGGACGGTGGTGTGGCTGGCAAAGGAGGACTATTATGCCATCTTGGATTGGACTTAATTTATAATTTACTGTTTTACTGAGATAATTTTAATTCTATGTCAATTATATTTTAAATGTTTTAAGGTTGTAAATCACCCAGAGCGTGCTTGCAGGGTGGGCGATTCATAAATCCAATTAAATAAATAAATACATACATACATAAATTGTATACTGCCATTAGCTCCTTTGAGTAAGGAAGGATGAGATAACAATGTGCTAGATATAAAATAGAATGGCATTGCTAAAAGCCAACTAGGGAAATGGGGAAGAGAACACCACTGAATCCTAAGCCAGCTATGTCCATGGGACTAAGAGATGAACTGAGCCCTTTATTTTTAATTTTGTGACTTTACTTATGCAGGTAAAGAAAGTATGAGTATCATGCTCTGGAAAGGCAAGCGTGTATCTGTCATGCTGCATGCTGAACGTGTAGTCCCAAATGAAGTATTTTGCTTTTTATACAAAATACATTTTCGTAGTTATGTCTAGGCATCTGAAACATCAGTATTATCTATTTTTATGTATTTATTTATAATTTCAATTTATAGCCCACCCTCCCCGCAACGCGGGCTCAGGGCAGCTTACAGGCAGGCAAAGCCAACACATAAAACAGATAAAAACATCACTACTATGTTACCCATTAATTACAACCTATTAAGTGCTCTAGATGTTCGAACAAGATCTTCCATTAAGATGATGTCTTGAAGATGGTACACCCAATCAGTGCTGCCAGTTCCATATGGCGCTGTTGTTCTCTCATTCCCAGGGCCAGAGCTAATGATGGTAAAATAGTGGCGGCTCCTACTCAAAAGCCTGGTGGAAGAGCTCCATCTTGCAGGCCCTGCAGAACTGCACAAGGTCCTGCAGGGCCCGGATCTCCTCCGGGAGCTCGTTCCAGCAGGTGGGAGCCGCCACTGAAAAAGCTCTGGCCCTGGTGGTAGCCAGCCTGGCCTACTTGGGGCCTGGAATTGTCAGGAGATGTTACGTTCACGACCGTAGTGCCCACAGGGGAACATATGGGGAAAGGCGGTCCCTTAGGTATGTTGGACCCCGGCCATCTAGGGCTTTAAAAGTAAGAACCAGCACTTTGAAGTGAATCCGGTACGCTATTGGCAGCCAGTGCAGTGCTTTCAGCACAGGCCAGATGTGGTCCCGGCTAGGAAGACCCATCAACAGCCTGGCCACAGCATTCTGCACCAGCTGCACCTTCCGGATTTGCGACAACGGCAACCCCATGTAAAGAGTGTTACAGTAGTCCAGCCTCGAGGTGACCGTCGCATGGATCACTGTGGCCAAGTCATCGCGGTCGAGGAAGGGAACCAACTGCCAAGCTAGCTGAAGATGGTAGAAAGCCGACTTAGCAGTGGCTGCCACCTGGGCCTCCATCATTAACAAGGAGTCCAGGAGCACTCCCAAACTCCTAACCTCCGGCGCTGGCACCAAAGGTACCCTACGAAGGGTCAGGAGAGGGAGCCCCAACCCCAGGCCACCCTGACTCAGGCCCAGGACCTCCGTCTTTGCCGGGTTTAGCTTCAGCCGACTCAGTTGAAGCCAACCAGCCATAGCCTGCAACGCCCGGTGCAGATCTTCTTGACTAGAGCCCGACCGGCCGCCCAACATCAGATAGAGTGGGTGTCATCTGCATATTGATGACACCCAAGCCCATACCTCTGGGCAATCTGGGCAAGGGGGTGCATGTAGATGTTAAACAACATCGGGGACAGCACTGCCCCCTGAGGCACCCCACATTCAAGAGGATGTCTCCGGGACTGCTGTTCCCCTATCACCACCCTTTGTCCCCGACCTTGGAGAAAAGAGGCAAGCCATTGAAGGGCAAGCCCCTGAATCCCCACGTCGGCGAGGCGGTGGGTCAGCAACTGGCAGTCGACCATATCAAACACAGCCGACAGTTCTAACAACACCGGTGCCGCCACACCGCCTCGATCCAGATGTCTTCGTAGGTCGTCAGTAAGAGCGACCAGTAATTGTCAGTAAGAGCGACCAGTACTGTCTCTGCCCCATGCCCCGGGCGAAAGCCCAACTGGACGGGATCTAGGACGGAAGCATCATCTAGAAAGCCCTGTAGCTGTAACGCCACCGCCCTCTCAATAAGCTTGCCCAAATAGGGCAAGTTGGACACCGGCCAATAGTTGGCCAATTCGGCCGGGTCCAAAGAAGGTTTTTTCAAGAGAGGGCGGACCATCGCTTCCTTGAGTGCACCCGGGAACCATCCCTCCAAGAGGGACATGTTGATAATTTCCCTGAGGGCACCTCGCAACCCCTCGTGACTTGCTCTAATAAGCCAGGAGGGGCACGGATCAAGGCAGCATGTGGTTGGGCGCACAGAAACCAGCAGTCTGTCAACTTTCTCCAGGCTGAGCCAGCCGAAACACTCCAAACCCGGAACCGAAGGTGTGCAAGGGGCCTCAAGTTCACTCACTGTTTCAACTGTGGCGGGGAGGTCGCGGCGGAGCACCAAGACTTTATCTGCAAAGTAGCTCGCAAATGCCTCACAGCCAATATCCAATTCCCTAGCATTTCGCCTGCCCTGTGGCAGAGCCGTTAAAGACCAAATTATTCTAAATAATTGGGATGGGCTCGAGCTCGCAGATGCAATCCTGGTTGCATAGAATCCTCTCTTTGCGGCCTTGACTTCCGTCTCATAAGATCTCATAAACGTCCTATAGGATGCTCTTGATGCCTCGTTGCGAACACGGCACCACCATCTATCTAACCATCTCAGCTCTCGCTTCATCAGCTGAAGCTCCTGGGTATACCAAGGCACCAGCCTGATGCGGGTGCGGAGAGGGCGCCTGGGAGCGATCTCGTCGATGGCTGCAGAGAGTCGGCCATGCCAGTCCTCCACAAGCTCATCCAATGAGCCGCAGGGGGTCCTCGGATCCCGAAGAGCCATCTGAAGCCATATTGGGTCCATTTGGCTCCTTGGATGAGCTAAAATCTACTCGCCGCCTAAACGGGGTCAGGGTGGCACATTCAGATGGGCCTTCAGTGCATAGTGGTCCGACCATGGTACCGCTTCCACAGTAATCCGGTCCACAATCAACCCTGCTGCGAAGATCAAATCGAGCGTGTGACCGGCCCGATGCGTGGGGGCTGATACGAATAGCAAGAGTCCCAGTGCCGCCATGGACGACACTAGATCCGTAGCCCAGGTAGAAGCCGCGTCATCGGCATGGACGTTGAAATCACCCATGACTACCCGTCTAGGGTGCTCCTGATATGGCCTCCAGCAGGGACAGCAGACTACTGGCCAGTGTGTTAGGCGGTCAGTACACCAGCCAGATAGCCAAACTCACTCCAACTTCCAGCATCAGGCCGACACACTCCACGCCCGTAATCTCCACAGGTGGGAGTGCCCTGAAGGAGTAAGCCTCCCGAATGAATATAGCCACTCCTCACCCCTGCCCCTTAGTCTGTGATTGGTGGAGGACCGAGAACCCCGGTGGGGCAAGCTGGGAGAGAGCCACAGTCTCCCCATCCCGTACCCAGATCTCGGTCATACACGCCAGTATGTATCCCATTCATAGTTTTCTGTTTTTGTTTAAAAAATAATGAAATTGTTTATATGGGACTTGTGCTAAAATGTATTTGTTTATTTTTACTTCAGTCTCATATTCGACTTCAGATTTTTCTAAACCCCCTGGGTCAAATGCCTGAGGTTGCAAAAAAAGTGCAAAGACCCAAACGTGGTTAGAAATCATTAAATGAAGTGCCTGTTGTTGATATTTAATCTTTAAGTTTAAGGAACATATTGTGATCTCTTTTACTTTGTACAGTATGGTTCAAAGAGTCATAAATCAAAATCAATATTTTCCTTTTCCTGTTTTTAATTGATCCATCTATTATCTTGTGGTTTGGTTATACTTTTCTAATGTATATTTTCAATTTGCAACTTAAACAGAATACAAGAGAAGTTCTTTGTATAATTACTATAACATTGTGTTGATTTTAATTTTTGTAGCACAGGATCTATGCGAAGTCGAAAAACACGACTGTGAACAGATATGTGTAAATACCCCCGGATCCTATGTCTGCCAGTGTTACGACGGCTATGAACTTGAGGAAAATGGGAAGAAATGTTTCAGTACGTGTCTCCTTTCTGTTGCTCTTATTAAAAAGAAAAAAACTGTTCTCATTATAATAACTGTTTGGGGGTTTCTTTTTGAAATTACTTTCATTCATATACTTCTTACCCAGTCAGACCATACTGTTAATAACAATGTGCTACGGAGACAAAGCATATAGATTAATCACTTAGGGGAGTTTTTCTTCCCGAAGGCAATACAAGACACACGTTAGAATGTGTGGATTTCAGCTGGAGTATCTTTTCTAGTCTCTAGTGCACATTTTGGAGCATCATAAGTCATGAAAGTTGCCATGCTTGAGAGCCATAAATTATCAGCGTAACATCTTATATTACTTGCGGGAATAGCAGGCTGTGTTGGATGAAACATTCCAGACAGTAAGCATTTATTGTCAATGGGATTACAAGGGTGCAATTCTGTTTAAGATTGCACTGTTGGTCTGTTCCAGCAAAAACAAAAGGAGTCTTCTGGTGCCTTAAAGACTAATAGATATCTTGTAGTGTAAGCTTTGGTGGACTAGAGCCACAAAACCTTATGCACAATAAATATTGGGCTATAAGGGATTGGGGATCTATTCCTGCTTGCTTCTGATGAAGGGAGCTTTGACTTTCAAAAGCTTATACCCTGGAAATCTCGTTGGTGTTTAAGGTGCTACTGAACTTGAATAATATGTTAGCACAATAATAAGTTAGCCTTCAAGGTGCCACAGAGCATCTTAAATGAGAAGAAAAAGAGGATGCTTGGACATAATTACTCTTGGGGGTGATGCAGGGAAAGGGGACATTCATGTGGTACTGCAGCAGGAGTTTCCAGAGCAGGAGAGCTCCAGTAGTGGGGCAGCACTCTCAGCAACGTTATCAGACTAATATTTCATGCCGGTTCATGATTTTTGCGCACCCACTTAGGCCAGTTTGATAAGCAAAGGGAGGTTGTTCCTAATCCAGTTGTTTCCAGCTTCCTCTAACTGTTATTCCAGGAGAAAGTCATCATATTTCATCAGGGAGGGCTAGTCGAGGCTATATATTTGTCTTCTGCTTAGAAAAACCTTGCTAAAGAGTATGTAAAACATACTGATTTCATCATATGGTCGAGTCACACTCCAATACTTCCTCAGTTGTAAGCAAAACAGCTTCTCACAGCTGTACATTCTCTTTCTAGTTATCTTTACTTTGACCGTTTGAAACCCATAGACTTACTGCTGTTCCAGTGACAGCTGTTTAATGTTACCACTTTGCATGTGGAATGGATAATTCTGTATTCTAATTAATGCTTTACATGCACTTTTTCATAGCAGGATGCACAGTAAGTCTTTCTACAGGAGTGCATACATATGCATTTTCAAAATACATATACTTTTTATTTTTTTTACATATTTTCCATTGCTTGAATAACCACCCTTCCTGCATCCTACCGAGATCATCACAATCAGTCAAGAACATCTACTTTAATATACTGCTTTCATAAGTCCTTTTCAGTCATTATGTTTTTGGTGCTCCTGCCCTGCGTAGTGGGAGTGTGCTGTATCTGAAATTCTCCCAGTAGGTGAGATCGCCATTTTATATTAGGGTAGTGTGCGCATTTTCAGCCTTTGATGTACATGAATGCATAGCCACGATGAAGCAAGGTTTCTAATCGTGCATACTAAAGATGGAAAAGATGTGCATTGTCCTATTCACAGAAAATAATTGTCACATGTATTGAGAGTATGGGGTAGCACAGTTACCCAGAAGGCAAGGCAGAAGTGCCAAAAATGTAACCACTGAAAAGCGAACATGTAGTCAGGTGTTCTTAGTTGGCTCTTCCTCCTTTCTTCCTGCTGGGGAAAAGGAGACTTACGCTGACTGAAGGTAATGTTTTTTTCATACTGATTACAAATACGGGTTTGTAACAAGCCCTTCATGGAGCTGCGGTGGCTCAAGTGGTTAAGACGCTGAACTGCAGGCTGTGGAAGGTCAGTAGTTCAGCAGTTCAAGACCCGGGTGCCGCAAGACGGGGTGAGCTCCTGTCTCTAGTTCCAGCTCCTGCCAACCTAGCAGTTCGAAAGCAAGAAATTGCAAGTAGATAAATAGGTACCACTTCGGTGGGAAGGTAACAGCGTTCCGTGCGCCTTGGTGTTTAGTCATGCTGGCCACATGACCACGGAAACGTCTTCGGACAGTGCTGGCTCTTCAGCTTTGAAACAGAGATGAGCACCGCAACCCTAGAGTCGGATTCGACTGGCTTTCGAGCAAGGGAACCTTTACCTTTACCTTTAACAAGCCCTTCAGTTGTGGCAAATTAAAATACTCTCCAGATGGCTATGTAAAACCTCAATGAACAGACCTAAAGAGGAAGAATGGAGGCAGGTGGAACTTCAAGTTGGTAAACATCTCCCAAATTATTACTTACAAGACAGTTTCAGTGGATATTTTATATTTGTTATTTTAGAATTGTAACTCTGTCAAATAACAGGATTAGGATGTACTAGGCTTCAAAATTTACCTGCAAGACCTTCATCCTGTTGTATTCTGTTCAGTACATTTACTTTGAAAATTCAGTCATTAGAGGGTAATTTCCAACTAATCCTGGCCTTACCTGCCTTACTCTACTCTGCTCGGTTTCCACCCTACACTGTTTTGCCAAGAACCACAGAGTCATATGTTTTAACATTTAGCTTCTAAATCTACCAGAGAACAGAGAACTCCTCCCCCCTCTATCCCAGTTTGGAATCTCTTCCCAGTACAAACAGCCAGGGGTCATTTCGTAGAAAAAGAGCTAGGGGAACTCATTAGCATAACTCATTAGCATATGCCACACCCCCTGACATCACCGGAAGTGTGTCAGAAGGCCCGGCTACTTACCCTCCTGCTTCATCCTCATTCCCAAACGGAATGAAGATCGAAGCAGAGGGCGGGGTAAAGAAGGGGGCGGGGCTTCACCACGTGACCGCCCCGCCCCCTAGAGGTTCTCTTCCGGAGCTCCGTACCTGAGAGCTCCCCCCCGATTTTTTTATTTTGTAAGCCAGAACACCTAAAGACCACCAAGATTTGGGGGGGGGGTGCTTTCAAGAGTCAGAGCTGCCTTCTGAAACTAGTTAAGAATTGTTATACCTTCTTTTTCAAGCTGCATTATCTGCCCTGCCATTAAGCTAAAGGAAACTGCATGTTTGTTATTGCTCCACTATGCAATTATGGTTGGCATAACTGAGCAGCTGCCACAATGTGAGTAGAATTTCTTTAAACAGGTCGTTCACATCCACAAAGCTAAGTTGTAACAAAACTTTGCTATCTAAACAGAAATCCTAGAAAACACAGATACTTGAGAACAATTAGGCAAAATACTAGAAATATGAAAAGGTATTTTGCTAGCTAATCCTATAGTTACAAAAAACCCTCTCCATTTCCCTTCCCGGGAATGGGTCCAAGGTTCTTTCTGCATTTGCCTGCCACTCCAGATTTTCTCAGTGTTCGAGTCAAGGCAATTTAAATCCATGGCAAAACAGCATCCAAATAACCCAGGCGCGCCGCGGCTCAGGGGATCCGTGGGATCCCGCCGCGGCGTCTCAACTTTGCTGCGGCTTTTAAAAGCCGCACTTTTCCCAGTGTTTTCCCTGCCGTGTGGCAGGGGCCTCAGTGTAGAACCCAAGAATTGGTCCTTTAAAATTCTTTTGCCCCAAGTCTTCTCACCCTATAGATGGCTCAAGTTGGATGTGAGAAGGATTCTGAAGAACTCATTAAGAGAATAGTACCTTTGTGTCAGATTGAATACTTGTTTGTTTCTTGTAAAACAAGAACACATGGTCTTAAGGTCTCAGGGTTGGACCACTAACTGATGGATCAGAGAGTGCATCCCTCAAGTCCTCAGGAAGGACCATAGTTGTGTGAGTGACTGCTCACCCTGAGAGGTTCAGCTACATCATCAGTTCTTAGCACTAATATTCCCACAGAATAACTCCTCTTCTGTAGAGTGACAATACAGTTGTTGCCTTCTACAGTTATCAGGCATTGCAATGTATATATTCATTTTGTTTGGCTGACCTAACTTTTAGGAGATATGTACTGCAACAGGTCATATAACATTCCTGATACAAAGTCAGGGGAGTGGGATGCTGTAGCATATCCTTTCCCACATGCAGGCCTGGAACTAAGTGAGAAAGGAAAGTTAAACTTTATGTGACATTCCCTTAATGTGTCAGCAAGCAGACTGTTCCCTGGGAGAGACACGAGGTCCAACTGGGGGGGAGGTAGTGGGGATGGGGAGAGGCCTGCATTTCACACAGCTTCTGCTGCTACACATTTGTCACCCATTCCTAAAGTATAGCTTGGTTTTTTTTTCAGTCAAGTGTTCTTGCATTAAAGTTTACAGTTGTCTTTTATCCCCAAAATCTAAGCAACATGCTGTCTCCAAGATCTGGGAAGTTCTCGGTTCCTAGATCTCTTTTGGCCCTGCCTGAGCAAGAAGAGGAATTAACCTTGTGTGGCCACCCCAGCAAGGGGCTTGCAAAGCAAGTGAGAAGAAGAGGTGGTTTGCCATTGCCGCCTTCTGCAGTCTTCCAAGTCCCAACCCTGCTTAGCAGCTGAGATTGGGTTATACCATGCCACCTTCCTTCCCTGGTGTTAACCTTAGCATGGGGCTATATAGAAGGAACTTCACAGTACAACTTTCCTTTTCCCAGGCATTGGTATTGTAAGTGGTTAAAGAATAATATCTTAAAACGTGCTGTTATTAGAGTAGAGAGGTGTTACTGGCCCCAAAGGGCCATCTATGCTTGAGCTTTTTAATGAGAAAGCTGATTATTGCTCTAATAAATATTTTCAGTAAACATCTAATTGAGAGAGAGAGAGAGACCCTAACAAGGTTGCTATCAATTAATATGCTGGTGAGAATGTTTTTTTTTTTAAATATCACATATCTGCTACCAAGGAGGAAGTCCATGAATCAAAATAATGATGGGTTGGATCCTATGAAGCAGCAGAGCCTTCTTTAGTGAAAGTAGCTTTGCTCTAGTGGGACATAGTTCTTCTGGAAGTTGTGCTAGAGGAAAATACCACCAAATTCATGGAATCCAACCCTGTGTAATGTATGTTTCCCATTTATTGATACTAATAACTATAAATGGTTGCCTCTTAAAATGTACTGTGGTTAGATTGGCGCTAACATTATTAGCTCTCATAAGACAACTGGAAATTTGTGTTTCAGTTTTTAAAGAGAAAGCCGATTACTGTTTTAGTGAACATTGTCAATTAATGCTTCATGCAACACTCTCCATTTTTGGAACAGGAAGGCATTTGCCAGGAAAGTGGTTATGCAAGTTACATGATGGAAAGTCTAAATTGCTTGGATTCCAACCAGCTGCTTTAAGTGTAAGCAGAAACTCCCATAACATGAAAGAATACTACCATCTGCTTCCCTGACATTTTTCCCAAGGTTGCATAGATCATGGCAAAGTTATGGTTGTGTGATTGTGGAAGAATACATTAATCCAAACAAATTGCATTTTTTATAAATTAAAAATGATATAATTTAGGCGTATGGGAACAAATGAAATAGGCTGTTACAGTTAGCTCATAATGGCTTTGCTGGAAACAACAGAAAGACTTCCTTCTACAGTATTTATGTGAAACAGAACACACTGTTCAGGGACAGAAAGGAGAACTTTGGTCTTTTGACAGGTTCAAATGCTCCTCTACGAAAGTCCTTTGAGATTTTATTGAGTTGAGATTATTCTGTTTGAAGCCGACATGAGATAAATGAAGCTCAGTCTCACTAACCTAAACGTCTTGGAGGAATCCAAATAGTTTTGAATGTATTGAAGATGGTTTGATTAGCAGGAGTCGTGTTTACCTAGGTTTACATTGAAAAACAGCAGGCATCTAACAAGAGTAACCGTTTTGGAAAATTGACCTTGGACAATGCAGAATATGCATATTTAATACTTGTACTGAATAGTTTATGCTTCTTTGTATCAGTCTTTACAAAGTTAGTTTGTTATCATGCCTTATCAATATTTATATGTTTATATGTAGAGAATATAAATCACTGGAATAACTATAACACACTCTTGCTGCTGCCAAAAGACAAAGAGTAAAGTAAACAAGTCAGTGTGAACTCTTAAGCCATGCTATTAATCTTTTAATACTGGGTGGCTTAAACATGGCATACAGAACCAAATGCTTCTTTCCCACTTTCCCTCTAAGTGGCTCCACTCTGTTGAGTTGTCTAGTCCTCAGTGGGAGATAGTTGCACAAACCTTTAAATTCTCTGATAGTGCCATCCCAAGCAGGTCTACTCAGAATCCTACTCAAGTCTATTCAGTGGGGCTTAGTCCCAGGAAAGTATTTTTAGGATTACACTGTGAGACACTTTCTTCACTAGTCTGTTGGCTCATTCTCCTCTACAAATTGCTCTGGAGCAGAATTACAATCTCCTGATGGCCAGAACTAGCAAGAGAAATTGGTGGTGAAATATAGCAAAAACTGGGAAAGCTGCACCTTTTCTGGAAGTTATTAAAGGTGCTGTGGCAGCACCCCAATTTTTGTTTCTTCAGGAGTGATTAAGTTACAGAGGGAGAACGTAACACGCAGATGCCATTTTTTCCAACCACCTCATCTTGCATATAATTTGGATGTGATTTGTTGCCGTACCTGAGAGCTCCCCCCCGTCTAGAGCCCTGTGTATGAGAGATATAACACTGCTTCTTACTAATTTCTACACCTGCTGCATGCCCCTGTCTCTTTAGTCCAAATTGTTTCTGGTGGTGAAAAGAGAAGGAATTTAGCATCAGTTACCAGAGTTAAGTTGATTTTGGCTGCCCTGTGAGCTTCAAGGAATGCAGCAGGTGTCAATACACAGATCCTTGGCTGCTTAAGTACTTGGATCTTGTGGTGTTTGACGTCAGGTTTACAGCATGTCTGATGAGCTACATGACACCGTTTCTAAAGTCATGCACTTTGCCTGACCTAAGGGCTCATGCCGGAAGCTCTCATTCTAAGAACTGTTTCCAGTTCCTGATGTCCAGGTGTACTTCAGTGTCCAGTTGACCCTCACCAGTCCACACAGCTGGCAGGGATGTGCACAGGATATGAGTGTACATGTGTGTGTGGATATGGAGTTCACATAATTGCTTTCGTGCCTCGACTTCTGAGAGATGTGGAATGTTTTCCTTTCCCGAGGGAAACATTGGGGAAGTTCAAGTATTCCCACTTTCAGTATTCCTAATTGCATAGTGCCAAACTGTGCTGAACCAGAGGGATAGAAAACCATTATCTAAACGTGTTCTAGGAAGGAAATCCATGTTAGGCCAACAAGGTGTTTGGAGAAGTCATTTTCAATATGTCAGTTACAACAGGATCTATTGTTCTCTTAATGAGGCACTGCAATTGACTTCACTTCTAATAGCTCAATCAGCGTCCCCAACCTTTTTGAGCCTGCAAGCACCTTTGGAATTCTGACACAGGATGGTGGGTGCAGGCAGAAAGAATGAATAATTATTGTATGGCATTGTGTGTAGAATAGTCAGGAGATCCTAAGATTGTCTGGCAGCCAAAAGTTCTAGCTCTTTTAGCGTTATGCACCACTGGGTGGCGAGCTAGACTATATGCACTTAATTGGTTTCTATATATAAAAATAACAAACAATTTTTAATAAATAAGTCTTTATTGAGTTTTTCATTCGTTTTCAGTTTATTAGTTATTCAAATGAGCCAGTGTATCAGTTTCTTGTTCATATTGTTCTAAGTTACGTTGGCTGTGATTCCTCTAGATTGCTAGACTTGTTTTAAGGCAGACATTTCAGAGGTGGTTTGCCACTGCTTGCCTCTGTGTCACGACCCTGGTATTCCTTGGAGGCCGCCCTTCCAAATACTAGCCAAGGCCAACCCTGCTTAGGTTCCAAGATATGACAGGATTGGGCTAGCCTGGACTATCCAGGTGAGGGCAGTGCAGGCACAAAATGGCCGTCACCAAAAAAAGGCTGCCACGAGAGGTGGAGGCAGCCACAAAATGGCTGCCACGGCTTACATTCAGCCACACAATGAATATCCCTGTGCTGTGGTGGCAGCTGCCTCCAAAGCAACATTTTAAAAAATCTGCACAGCCAGTCAGAGCTCCAGTGACCAATCAGAAGCCTTGCTGGGTAAAAGCCACATCTGGCCACACCAACTTTCTTAAACCATTTTGTGGGCACCAGGAAAGGTGTTGGCAGGGACCATAAAACCCACAGGCACTACATTGGGGACCCCTACACTTAATAAAAAAGTACCCATTGTCTACGTGTTTCAGCAGCACCTGACTGCGATCTGAGGAACTGGAAGTATTGTGTACATTCAGTGAAAGTGGCTCGAATTCTAAAGGAAATCAGCAAAGGAGGACTTGCTTACTAACTTCCCCCCTCCCTCTGCAACCCCAAAAGGCTCCTGAAGTGCTGCTTGTGGGGAGCAGGGAACCCCCCAAAGACAGCGTAACAAGGAGTTGGAGGTCTGAAGTAAGGGAGAAATCAGCGAATATCACCCTCTCCTTCCATCAGTGGAAATTTTCCACTGGATCCTGCTGAGCTTGCTTAAAAATTACCATTGTTTCTATTTCAGTTGTGGATTACTGTGCCTTGAATAACCAAGGCTGTCAACATGAGTGTGTCAGTACCGAAGGCTCCTACTACTGTCAGTGTCATGAAGGATTCATTCTAAATCCAGACAAGAAGACTTGCAGTAGTAAGTTATCCATATCTATGCTGAATTTTGCCCACTTCTGTGCTGAAAAGGCTTTATATATTATGGGTGGCGGGTGCCTGTTTAACAGTATCATGAGCCAGAGTGCAGTGAAAGAGTTCACGCTTTGTAAGCACCATGTCCTAGATCCGATGCCTGACATCACCAGTCAAAAGGACATTAGGGTTGGATCCAGACTAAACTGCTCCCAGAACAGTATTTCATAAAGATCAGTGGGCTTCAGTGGAGTTGGTGAGGCAGAAGATTTCCATACTGCCCGTGGAAAATTTAATCTGAATCCAACCCAAATCCTGCAAACTGTCTCAGGCTGATACCTTGGAGATCAGCTACCTTTTCACAGTATATTCCCCAAAAAAGAAAACTCTGTATGAAAATATTAATCACTATTCAATACATTCAAAAAACTCACAAAGTGTATATATTTTTTATAAATCTGCAAAATCTTTATCCAATATTGAAGTGCATACATCCACAAAATACAAAAGCCAATGTGGAACTAATCAAAACACTGTATATATTAATGTCATGGCATTCACTCAGGATACACCTAAGATGCCAAAGCAGTCCGTAGCGATCACATAAGTTTAAGATGAAAAAATCCAGTCCGAAAGGTGGTTCCAGTGGTATTTTATCTTCACGCAATGGCTAGCTGCAAGTGAATCGTGTTCCTCCCCACAGCTTCTTCAAAAGTAGAACCAAACCAATATCTGGTAGATCTTCATGGAAGAAACTAAGGTGCAGTCCTAAAAGCGTCTGTGAGACTGACAGCATCTACGTCCCCAAGAAAGATCCTCAGTTACATTAGGTAGTCCAGATATTGTACTTTCATACTCCTCTCAGTACCCATGATCGCTATGGACTGCTTTGGCATCTTGGGCGTATCCTGAGTGAATGCCATGAATACATGAATATATACATGAATATATACAACATTTTGATTAGTTTCACATTTGGTTTTGTATTTTGTGGATGTATGTACTTCAATACTGGATAAAGATTTTGCAGATTTATAAATATATATATACACTTTGTGAGTTTTTTAAATGTATTGAATCGTGATTAATATTTTCATACACAGTTTTCTTTTTTTGTGTCTATCCTGTACTGTGTATCTCCGGTGTTGTGTTGTGCCTTGTCACAGTAGATGGGCTAGAAATCTAGGCATTTATCGCATTTTTATCTTGCCTTTCCTCCAAGGTGCTTAGGGTGGCATAGATGGTTCTCTGCTCTCTCTCAGATATAACCCTGTCAGCTAGGTTAGGCTAAGAAAATGACATCCCAAAGTAGCTTATGCCTCAAGGGGGTTTGAACACCCTGGTCTCCCAGTTCTAACTCTCTAACACTACAACACACTGCCTCTCATGAATACAAAATATAAGACAACTTCATATGCTCATCCATATGCACAAATGACGTTACTCTTATATACCTATATGATATAAGTATAGTAGAAAATACATGCTTCTTGAACATGGTACATTACATTTCAGATTTTAAAACCCTATTTTAAACTTGCTGGTGAAACTGATATTTTATTAATGTTTTAGTTCCTTTTTTGTGGGATTTTTTTTAGGGAGATGGTGATTTTTTAATCTGCTTCAATCCATTTTAACTCCTGTTGGTTTTATGTGGTCGATTGGTGCTATGGTATTATTACATTAACCATTTTATTCTGTTTAATTGTATTAAATTTATATTGGAAATTGGAGTGATTTTAAATGAAATGAACATGTAAAATGTTTGACACAAACACTCTTAAAACCAGATCTGGTTCTTCCTGATATGGCAGGAGGGCTCATCAGGATTGCCTCCAGAGAAGCAACCTTTACTCTGGCAATTGTGCTCCTAATATTAGAACTTTTTATATTTAAGGATTTAAGGAGTGAGGCGCTTGCATTGATTACAGACTGATTAGTGTCCTTCAGTACTTTTTCCTGTTTCCAGGGCCAGATCACTGTGCTTTACAGAATCATGGCTGTCAGCAAGAGTGTGTCAATACAGACGAATCTTACTTCTGCCAGTGCTGGCAAGGATTTACCCTCAGTGCAGATAAAAGAACTTGCAAAAGTATGTTGTCCTAAAGTGTATAGTAAGTCCATCAGCTTTTACTTTTTGCCATTACTGTCACAACTTTTCTTCAATTACAATGATCTGTGTACTTTGCTGTTATAAGCTAATCCTAGATATGTCAGAAAGACTAAGTGGGATCATCAAAATGTATCCACAGGGCCAGCATGCTCAAGGCCAACTGTATGTAAAGAACCTGGAACTCTGAGTCTGCAATCAGGTGCCCTAAGCAAAAGTCAGTCTGCTGTGAGTTACCTGACAGGGAGAGTCCTCAAGGCCATGTTGCCTAATGGACAGATGAGACAAAAAACAAGTTCTTCGTTGAAATGTGTTTATCCAAGGACAGGGATGCCAAATGTTTGCTTGCTTCGATTTCCGGTGAATGTAGCTGTTTGGGGGGAGGATAATAAGAGGGAGAAGTATTTCATTACAAACTCTTCATATGTATTCATCTTTTAATAAACTGTTTACCGTTAAAAAAAAAAAGTAGGACTTGGTGGTGGTGGGAAGTGCTGTCAAGTGACAGCTCACTTATGGCAGTGGGCGGGTGGTAGTTCAACCCTAGCAGAATTACACCCTTCTAAGTCAATGGAAGTCAATGGGATTAGAAGGGTTAAATCTGTTTAGGTTTGCTCTGCGGGTAGGTATGGAATGTGATGAGCCAGCAAGACCCAGTTGAAATCCCCACATTTTCATAATAGATGCTCTAACTACGAGGTGCAGGGTGCTTTTTACTTTTTTGATATCAGAAATTAAATCTGTGTGCCTTGGAGAATATGATAAAAAAGCAAAGGACTTTAACATGGTGAAAGCCATACTGTTTGTGCGCCAGATGTGTAGCATACAGATATTCATTTAATGGCCTAGAAATCTTTCATACAATCGCCTCTGCATATCTGTGATTACCTAGAAGCTTGGAAATAACTCTTAATTTCATTGGTGGCTAAAACCAGATTGGAAAGTGGGATTTTAATTGGAATTGCTGTTAATTGTTTTAATTGCTGTTTTTAAAAACATGTCTTCCCTCTTTCCTTAGGAATAAATTTCTGTGCCTTGGGGAAACATGGTTGTGAACATGAATGTGTTAACACTGAAGATTCATATATGTGCAGATGCCGAGTGGGTTACACCCTGAACCGTGACCATAAGACATGCAGAAGTGAGTATTTCAGGCCTTTTGATGCTTTGTATTGAAGATTGGGCTTTGAAAAAAACAAGCATCCTGAAGTTTTTGTAAATATGGGCTTTTGGAAATCCAGCCATACTTATGAGTACTGAGATAATATTGGTGACTTGCCTATGTTTACTCAGTGAATAAAATGCTTGTTGCAAACTTCTGGAAAGAGAAACTGTTTACTGTTGGGCATATTTGCGGTTTTCATCTTTAAAAATGTGTCCTATAGTACAACAGTTTAGGCTGTTTTTACACACATTATACAGTTTCAGTGCACCTTAGCACAGGAAAATCCAGTTGCAAATCAGTTCCACTCTCCCAATACAATTTACTACACCACCCCCACCCCCGAATTGTACCTCCAGGAGTCACAATATTGCAGTGCAGCTTTGCAATAGGGGAAGGAGGAAATGGCAAAAAAAGTTTTCTTCTTTTTTCTACCGCCAGTGGAAAACATGGTTAGGATCTAATTTTCAGTAGTCTGCTTGAATATACTGTAGTAATCACTAATACCGTGACCTGATTTTCAGAGGGTGGGTTGCTGTTTTAAGTTGTGCAAGAATCCAAATACTGCAGATTTTCACTATTTTTTTTAAATTTGGTATTTTCTCTGTGTGTCTGCACCTGGAAGTCATGTTGACCTCTGGTGACTGACCCCTACTGGGGGGGCCTGGAGGATATTCAGAGAGGTGGCTGAATAAAACCTGCCTTTGTCCTCCTGACTTTGTATTCCAAGGAAGTCTCCCATCCAAGTACTAACCATAGTCAACCCTGCTTAGCTTCTGAGATCTGAAAAGATTGGGCTTGCCTGGGCCATCCAGGTCAGGGTTTCTGTTTTACTATTAACAGCTTTTTAATTTGCTTGCTGAAGTGTTGAAACAAGATAGGTCCAAAACTGCTGGAAGCCTGCTTATCTACAGATTTAACATTATGGTGCTTCAGCACGAACACTACACAATTTTGTTATCATACTTGGTATCTTTATTTCTCCTGCAGTTTTATTTTCAAAGCAGAATAATAATGTGAGAATGTCTATTACCATTATGTGTAGTGGTTAGTTTATCTTAAGAGTTTAGGGTTCTTTTTTCACAATTTACTTGTCCCTGAGAACTGCTCTGTTTGTGATAAATGAACTCATGGAAAATGGAGACTGTGCCAACTGGAACTTACTAGAACCAACAGATATTTCAGTATCAGTCTCACTTGTTCAAGCCAACAAGGATTGTGACTGTGTAGGATGTTAATTTTGGAAAGATTCCTGAAAATGTATGCTTTATTTTTCAATTATTCAGATATTGTTGGGAAGGGTCTATTCATCTCGAAAAGCAGTTACAGATTTTTCAGGGCTTGTTGACCATATATGTAAGAAATAAGAGAAGCAGAAATGATTAATTCTGTCTGCCCTCCGCTTCCTTCTTCTCTGGATATAATTTATTTCAGTTCTTAAAATGTTACAAATTTGAGCTTTCTTAACATGCTGAGTTTTCCAGCAACAGTTATGCACACTAGCTTGGATCTCTGCATCTGGAGACAGTACTGTGTCATTAAGATAAGGCACATCTGGCTTTCTTTCTGTGTTACCCTCTAACTCTGTTGCTCCTTCACTTTGCAAAGTCCTTGCATTGTTTGGGGAACAACATGGGGATTTTGTATCATATGGGTTTTTTGCCTCCTAAATGCATGTCTACTTTTTCTGCTCACAAACTGCAGCCTGCAGGGAAAAGCAGTTTCAGCCTTCTGCCCCACCACCACCATTTTCACATCTTCAAACTGTCCAGTGGAGCTGCTATTTACAGGGCTACAGATAATTTGTCCAATGGAGCCAAAAGCAGTTCCATGGGACAGTGTGAAGACAAGAAAATTGTATGGGGGAGGCTGAAGCTGCTTTTCCCCACATACTACAGTTGCTAGCAGAAAAGTGCCAGTGTATCTGGGAGGCGGAAAATTCCTGTGGCATATGTGATACAAAACCCTAGTATTGTCCCCTGTGATGAACAATAAAAGGTTAATGCTGTAACCAGGTCTGAGAACCTTGAGTGACAGGGAGTTCAAATGGAATTCTTCAGTTGAAAGGGTCAGTTAGGAGTGGCAGTTAAGAACTGACAGCTGATTGGGAAGGAGGGCTTAGAGACTGGGAAAGGATCAAGAAGGATCCTGAGATAGGGATGTAGGAAGTTTAGCTTAACAAGTCTGTGGGAAATAGCTCCCAAAAACTAAGGATGATCCATAGCCAGTGGATAAGGAAGGAAACTGGAACTTGTGTGAATGTTCTTGCCCTCACCAACTTTAGTGTCTGTTAGACCAAGAAGCTTATGCTAGTTTATGTAAGAAAAACTGCCAAGAAATCTCTCTCCTCAAGTTTTAAGTACCTGTCTGAATAGCAGAAACAGTTACTTGTTCATGACAAATTATCTGGTGTTTATTTTTATACAAAGTTACCTAATTCCTGTTGTCTGTTCACTTCATAAGTCCTAAACTTGATTCATACCTCACCATTTCCCCTCAAAGTTAAACAAAACAGTTTATTTTTGATTGACCATCAGCCTCTAGTGTGCCATTATCAAACCAGGACAAAAAGATGGGTTTTAGTCTCTCCCTTCAGTTCCCTAGGCTGGGTCAGGATCTAAGAATATACATTCAAATGACTGGGTGGGACAGCCATAGAAAAACAAAGAGGAAAAAGAAAAAAAGGGGCTGCTCAGCGTAGAACAAGATAAAAGAAAACCCTGTGAGGGAGGGCAGAATTGTTATGTGCCCCCAAAACCACAATGATTTTGTAGCTTGAAGATTTAATCTAGCAAATATGCTTTTCACTGTTCTCTGTGGGTGCCTTTCCTCCTTAAACAGTATAACACAATTGCATTGTGATATGAATAGAAGGTAATGACTAGCACTTGAGTTCCCGTGATTGATAATAAAAGAAGTAGCCACTGTGGTGTAATGGTTCAAGTGGTGGACTAGGATCTTGGAGACCTGGGTTTGATCCCCACTCTGCCAGGGAAGCTCACTGGGTAAACTTGGGCCAGTCACACGCTCAGCCTAACCTCCTTCCCAGAGTTGTTGTGAGGATAAAATGGAAGAAGAGGAGAATGGTATAAGCTTCTTTGGGTCCTCATTTGGGGAGAAAGGGTGGGATAAAAATGAAGTAAAACAAATTAGTACCCAGATATCCTCACACTGCACCTTTGAGCAAGAATGTTTCCCTAAGTGAATGGCCTCTTTTGCAGTCATGGAAATCATAAAAGCCTGTGTGTTCATGGAGTGCCAGCTCATACAGAGTCCTTCTCCATGTCATTTTCATTCCCAGGGATGGTCCAAAAAGATAACATTGAGGTTTTCCCCCTGTTTGAACAGGCACCAAAACTGGACTGTAAAAGCTCTGAAGGATGTCCATGAGCAGTAAACTAAAGGGGCAACTTGATCGAGAGAAATCTTTTCCCTTTCAGATCTGTTTTTCTTTCCAAAAATGTGCTTTGCTCTGTACTACCAGAGCCAGCATAGTTACGCTGTACATTCATAATAGCACGTATCAGCCGTGCCTCCCAGTTGTTCTTTCTCAAGAGACCACAGTCCAGCCTTGAAAGAGTAATTAATTACTACTGTGTGCATGTCTCTGGCATTTCTCTCCTCTCCTCTCTGTCAGAGCTATGTAGCCATTGCTAATGCTTCTCTTGGGAGTGTTCCCTGTCAGAGCTATGTAGCCATTGCTAATGTGCAAAATGGTGGTGTTGCGTTTCCTCAGTTTACACTGTGAAATTGTAGTCTTCGTGCCATCAAACCTTTTGACTTTATGTGAGCCAGGATTTTACCACTACTGCTGTGTAATAGGAACTGTATCAAGTTGAACTCCTGCTCAAAAAACTTAAAGCAGTGGTTATCTGGAATGTCTGATCGAAAGATGTTATCCTTTGTTCTTACTGGGTTTTTACATATCTGGATGGGAAGATTTTAAATTTGCAATTCATTTCTCTTCCATTGCTAACTCCTGACTCAGGAGTAGACCACTGTGCTGAGAACAACCATGGTTGCGAGCAACTGTGTGTGAACACCCGGGAGTCCTACGTCTGTCAGTGTTCTGAAGGTTACATCATTAATGAGGATCTAAAGACTTGTTCACGTGAGTCTCTTAAATGGGGGTACTGTAAAGAATTAAACAGAGAAAAGAAAGCTGATTTAAGGTACTCATATTGCTTTGTATAGTGCTTGCCAAATGACTGGAAAAGCTCAAATTAAAAACTGTACATTGCTTTGTATAGTGCTTGCCAATTAACTGGAAAAGCTCAAATTAAAAACTGTACTGTACTTTGTGATATCAACAGATAAAACAGAAAGCCAGAATATACATTGTTTTAATAAACACATCCATGTGAATGTCCCTACTACACTAGTCCTGTTACCTCACCTGCTGCCGAGGGATAGGTTCTTGTGATACCAGTATTAGGTGAGTGATTTGCTTTGTTAAGACCCTCAACTTGTGGCTGAGCAGACTGGAAATGAGAATCTATAACCCAGAGAAGAAACACCCAGAAAAATAAGCTTAAGGAACAGTGCATTTTAGGAGAAAAGAGTTAGTGCTGTTCTAATCCAATTCATGGTGTCTGTTTAAATCCGTGCTAGCAAAAAAATGCAACTGGCCTTTTAAAATAGTTTTATTAACCTACCAAATGGAAAAGGCTTTTTCCTGAGTAGTAGGGAAAATGTTTATGGGGTTTTATTTTTCTCCAGGCAGCACTTGGGATTTCCATCAAAAGCTCTAATATTTTACATTAACTCTAGACATGTGTCTGTTAAGCCCTGATCTTATGATTATTCCTCCGGGATGTTGCTTCTACTTGCCAGTTCGCCCCACTTATTATTTGGAAGCAGGCTCTGTTCTACTTTGGAGTTTCCTGTGAAAAGCTAAAAAAACACAACCCCTCATATCACTCAGTTGCTATAGAGGATGATGACAAAAATATGCAATCTATCACTAAAATCTGCCTCCATTCCCAAGGACTGGAAGGTAGCTAATGTAACCCCCATCTTTAAAAAAGGTTCCAGAGCAGATCCAGGAAATTACAGGCTGGTCAGTCTAATGTTGATACCGGGTAAGTTGGTGGAATCTGTTATTAAAGACAGAATTAGTAAGCACATTGATGAATAAAAGCTATTGAGGAAGAATCAGCATTAGGGGTGTGCAAAAAACCCCAAACCACTGGTATTTTTCTGTTCGGGTCTGTCAGTGTTTCTGAAAAATCCCAGATTCCAATAATGGTATGGTATTCTGATCCAGGATTTTTTAAAAAAATCCTGAATTTTTTTCAGGTCCAATAGACAGAAAAATACTGGGTTAAAAAAAAAAAGCCAACCCAACCCTGGGGCTGGCTTGGCTTCTCCTGCGGCATGGTTTAAACTGTGCCGCAGGAGAAGCTGGCCCCAAGAGGATCAGCTGGGGTGGTGGGAGTTGAAGAAGAGATTGGATTTATACCCCGCCCTTCACTACCCAAAGGAGTCTCAGAGCGGCTTACAAACTCCTTTCCCTTCCCCTCCCCATAACAGACACCCTGTGAGGTAGGTGGGGCTGAGAGAGCTCTGACAGAAACTGCTCTTTTTCAAGAACAGCTGTGCCAGAACTATGGCTTGCTTAAGGTCATCCAGCAGGTGCAAGTGGAGCAGTGGGGAATCAAACCTGGTTCTCCCAGATTAGAGTCCGTGCACTTAACCCCTACACCAAACTGATCCTTAAACCAAGCTACAAGGGGAGACAGCTTCTGCCATCCCAGCTTATTCTCTCTTTTAGCTCAGAGCTGCAAGAGAGGATCAGCTGAGGCAGCAGGAGCAGAGAGCTCCGTGCCACCTCAGTTGGTGGGCTACTCTTGCAGCTTGGTTTAAACCGAGCTGCAAGAAGAGCTAACCCAAGCAGAGGCAGGGCAGAGCTCTAGGCTCCTGCTGCCCCGGCCAATGGTATAGCTGAATACACCCAAATAAAAGCTGGAAAAAATTGGCTTTTATTCGGGCTCAGCTATACCAGTAGCCTCTGATCTGTATTCAGCTTAAATAATACCCCCCAAATGTTGGTAAGGTATTTGGGGGGTATTTTTTCAGCTTGGTTTATGTCAAATGCACACCCCTAATCAGCATGGATTCTGTAAAGGAAGAACTTGTCTCACTAACCTCTTCGAATTCTTTGAGGGGGTGAACAAGCATGTGGACAAGGGTGACCCAGTAGATGTTGTTCACCTAGATTTCGAGAAAGCTTTTGATAAAGTTCCTCATCAAAGGCTCCTAAGAAAACTCAGCAGGCATGGGATAAGAGGACAAGTCCTCTTGTGGGTTAAAAACTGGTTAACTAACAGGAGAGTGAATATAAATGGGCAGTTTTCACAGTGGAAGGTGGTAAGCAGTCGGGTACCTAAGGGCTCAGTACTAGGTCTGGTGCTTTTTAACTTGTTCGCTAATGTTTTGGAGTTGGAAGTAAGCAGTGGAGTGGCTAAGTTTGCAGATGACACTAAGTTGTTCATGGTGGTGAAAACCAGGGAGAATTGTGAGGAGCTCCAGAGGGGTCTGTCGAGGGTGAATGAGGGGGCATCAGCGTGGCAAAAGAGGTTCAACGTGTGCAAGTGCAAACATTGGAGCCAAAAATCCCAACTATAAATATACACTGATGGGGTCCAAACTGGTGATAACTGACCAAGAGAGAAAACTTGGAGTTGTGGTAGAGAACTCACTGAAAATGTCGACTCAGTGTACAACTGGAGTAAAAAAGGCAAATGCTATGCTGGAAATTATTAGGAAGAGAACTGAAAACAAATCATCCAGTTTCATAATGCCCCTGTATACATCTATGATGCGGCCTCATTTGGAATACTGTGTACAGTTCTGGTTACCACACCTCAAAAAAGATACTATAGCATTGGAAAAGGTGCAAAAAAGGACAACTAAAATGATAAAGGGAATGGAACACTTTCTTTATGAAGAAAGATTAAAGAGGCTACGGCTCCTTAGCCTGGAGAAACGATGACTGAGGGTGACATGACAGAGGTTTACAAAATTATACATGGGATAGAGAAGGCTGAGAAAGAAGTACTTTTCTCCCTTTCTCACAATACAAGAACTCATGGGCACTCAAGGAAATTGATGAACAGTAGTTTTAGAACAGATAAAAGGAAGTACTTCTTTACCCCAAGAGTAATTAACACGTAGAATTCACTGCCACAGGATATGGTGGCAGCTACAGGCATAAACAGCTTCAAGAGGGGATTGGATAAGCATATGGAGCAGAGGTCCATGAGTGGCTATTAGCCACAAGGTATAGATGGAACACTATGTCTGGGACAGTGATGGTCTGTATCCTTGGCGCTTGAGGGTCCATGGGGGGAGGACTTCTGGAGTTCTGGCTCCACTGGTGGACCTCCTGATGATACCTGGATCTTGGCCACTGTGTGGCACAGAGTGTTGGACTGGGTGGGCCATTGGCCTGATCCAACATGGCTTCTCTTATGTTCTTATAATAATTACTTAAATCAGCAGCAGAATCAAAACATTTTGTTCTAGTTCTAACATAAAAATGCTTAGAACACAAGTATCTGTAACCGTATGCAGGCAAAGCATCCTTCATCAGTTACTGAAACATCTTGGTGATAAATCCGCCGTCTGATTATCAAGTGGTACTTCATGTGCAGATGAACTGTGTATGCTGGAGTTTTAGCTCAGAGCTACAGAGTTCATCTGTATGCAACATCTTCCTGTTCTCCATCTGGCACTTTACCACTAAATCAGGAGAAATTTAATGCACTATAAAATAAGGTAGTACTGGAGAGAAAAAATCTATCTGGTGTATTCACATTCTATGTAGTAAAGGCTAAATCATGAATCCACTGGTTCTCCGTTCCCACTATGGACAAACGCACCTCATCCCCCAGGGGTAGCATTTAATGGAGATTAGTGGGCTGCAGTGGGAGGGGGAAGGCAGGAAAGTTCCATTCTGCTGATGGAAGATTTAGCCTGGATCTATCCTGAAATCGCTGGATACTTTTTTTCTACTGACAGCCTTCTTTCCTTCTCAGGAATAGACTATTGCTTGCTGAGCGACCATGGCTGTGAGCATACATGTCTGAATAGCGACAGATCTTATGTATGCCATTGCTTTGAAGGATATGTGCTGCACAGTGATGGGAAAACCTGTAAACGTAAGCTTTATTTATTGTGCCCTGTTAACTTGATCCTGTATAAAATAAGTAAGAGAGCCAGTTTGATGTAGAGGTTAGGATTGTGGACTCTGATCTGGAAGAGCCGGGTTTGATTTCCCACTCCTCCACATGCAGCTGCTGGTGTGACCTCGGGTCAGTCACAAGTTCTCTCAGAGTTGTTCTCTCACAAGCAGTTCTCGAAAGAGCTCTCTCAGCCCCACCTACCTCACAGGGTGTCTGTTGTGGGGAGGGGAAGGAAAGGAGATTGTAAGACGCTCTGAGACTCCTTAGGGTAGTGAAGGGCGGGGGTATAAATCCAATCTTCCCTTCTTCTTTCTTACAAAACTGTTACTGTGACTAACTTACTCTTCATTATATAAGATGAATGAATTACAAAACTGTTACTGTGACTAACTTACACCTCCCATTCGTGAAAGATGATTTTGGTGGGGGGCTGTTGCAGACTTGACTAGTCATTTTTTTCCTTACGTATTACTATGAAACGGTGGTGGTGGAAACATGAAAGATGATTTTGGTGGGGGACTTGACTAGTCATTTTTTCCCCTTAAGTATTACTATGAAACGGTGGTGGTGGAAAGTATCATCAGGTCACAGTCGAGTTACGGTGACACTCGCCCCCCACCCCCCGGTAGAGTTTTCAAGACGAGACGAACAGAGGTAGTTTGCCATTGCCCGCTTCTACATGGCAACCCTAGACCTACTTGGTGGTCTCCCACCCAAATACTAATCAGGACCAACCCTGCTGAGATTCTAAGATCTGATGAGACTGGGCCGACCTGGGATATCCTGGTCAGGGGCCTCTCATCCAAGTACTAACCGGGGCCAGCCCTCCTTGGGACAGAGTATAAAGACGGAGATCCAGAACCGAATTGGGAAGGTGCAGGAGGGGCTGTTGGGAAAAGAGAGCAGCAGACTGAACACATGAAGCTGCCTTATGCTGAATCAAACCGTTGGTCTGTCAAGGTCAATATTGTCTCCTCTGACTGGCAACAGCTTTCCAGGGTCTCTGGCACAGGTCTCTCCCATCGCCTGGTACTGAACCTTTTAACCAGAGAAGCTATGGCTTGAACCTGGGGCCTCCTGTATGCATAGCTGATGCTTTACCACTGAGCCACGACCCTTCCCCCTCCAGCGATAACCTGCAGTTTTCGTGATGATATTTAAGTGTTGATCGTGTTACAGATATTTTACCAGAAAAGAATTGTCTTTTTTTCAGGTAGAGATGTCTGTAAATCAGTGAACCATGGCTGTGGCCACCTTTGTGTCAGCGATGGCAGTTCCTATGTCTGCAAGTGCCATGAGGGGTTCGTACTGAAAGAGGATGGGAAAACCTGCAGAAGTAAGCAAGCAAATGCCAGTCTTCTAACCTGTAGTAGTCAGCATTTGTTGTGCTGTCTCAATATGCGTGCAGAGCATTCAGTGAGCTAATGAACCATGAGTGGAACTTTCCTTACAGAACAGACCTTTTCCACCTCCTCCCTCCCACTGCAGCCCCCCATAACCTCTGCAGTGCTGCTCTTGGGGTACAGGGAATTGCCAGGTACCATGCCAGGTGCAATATAGGCTTCTGCAGTAGGGAGGGGTGAAAAACTGTCCCCCTCTGGTCAGTATATTTTTTTCTCTATGCCGTGTTGCTGATATTGACTTGATCCAACACTTGTTTCTTGCCAGTGGAAGGATGCTTCCGTCATCAGGGGTGGGGGAAGAATTCTACTGACACACCATCAGTGATAAGCATAGATCCGAGGTCTCTCAAGCACCCTCGCAGTTTCCCTGAGAGAAATCCATTCCAAGTACTAATAATCTCAGTATATCCAAAACAAACAATTTCTCGTATGTGTGTAAATAAGGTGGCGATAGGGATTGTTTGTTTTTAAACAGAAACAAAGCATATGGATGAGGGGAAATAAACCCTGTCCCATTCTGCACCAAACCTCACTGCTCTCAGTCAGCTCACATCCAGTATCAGGGTTGGACTGAGAGACAAAGAAGGAAAAAAGGCTGAAAGCATTGGAACTCAGCAAAGTAAAGTGTGGGGAGGACAGGAATTAGCTCCCCTCACCTGTAAGCTATATTTGTTCATTAAACTTCCCACCACTTCACTTCCTTTACATGACTGGATGGACTCACTCTCAATGATCTCCTATTTATTATTATTTCCTATTTGTACTCCACAACTTTCTTTCTGGTGTTTCCAACCATCTGCTTTTGCTCACAGAGAGTAAGAATTTTAATTGCTTATAAAACAGATTACCTTTTACTCATCTGGCTAAATTTTGCTGGAGAGGATTCTTTGGGTGAGGGTTAAAATCCTCGAAAATATTGTCTCAACTGGATGAAGAAAAAAATTACAGCTGGAATGGCGATTTCCCCATTGAAACCAATGGAAAAAAAGAAAGAAAACAAAACACATATATTAGAATACAGAAAAAACTAAAACTAATTAAAATATGTAAAAACATGACATTAGTATGGTAAAATATCTGTGCTGATAAATATAGTGAGTCTGTCACCTGCAATATTAAGAAGGATTCCTATTGAAGGAGGAAGGGGAAATCTCCAGAAATTACCTGGTAAATACTACACTGCTATTTCCTGTGTAATTTCATTTTAATTGCATGAAAGCTGGATATGATTTAGGCCTCTCTTTTTTGCCTTTTGTTTCATGTCACAAGATGCATGAATTATCTAAATTACCTGTAGGTAAAGACCTCTGCAAATCAATTGATCATGACTGTGAACACCTCTGTGTCAACAACGATTTCTCCTACACCTGCAAATGCCATGAAGGATTTGTACTAAGGGATGATGGGCACACCTGCAGATGTAAGCTCTTTGGTCTTCGTTGGAAGATAGAGCATGTAATCTGTTTGTTTTGGGTTTTTTTGTTTTTGTTATTAATTCTAAAAAGGACTGTTTTGTTATTGGGTTGTTTTTCTATGGTTTTGTGTCATTATTGTTTCTTTAATTTTTGTTTTCTTGGGAGCTGTCCTTTTATGGTTTTCCATCCAAACTGGACAAACTTCAGGGGGATTGTAGTATTCCATGAGGACACCAACGTTACCAAATTTCAGACAGATAGAATAAAGAGGCTCCGTATTTTGAGGCTGTGAAAGGCACCCATGTTTAACATTTAAGTTCATGCAAGAATGGATAGGAAAGATTCCAAAAGTGACACAGTCGGCACTGTAGCTAGTTAGCTTGAAAAGCCGTAGCACAAGGAAGAGGGAACTAACAAGGCAACGGCAGTAGCACAAGGAGGGTAAGGCATCTAGGCAAGCTGGCACTGGGAGGAGAATGGAAGGCAAAGTCCCATCTCATATCCTTCAGGATTGGAATACCTTATACACATATGTAATGCTAGTGGCTACAGCCTGCAGTCAATCAGGAAAGCACAGAGCCTCTCTCCCCACTCCCCCTGAGGAACACTAGACTCTATCTATGCCTTTCTTATGAATATGCTGACTGCCTTGTAAAAGAGAAACCAATAGAGGCAGACTGCAGTAGGGTTGCCAACCCCCCAATGGGAGCAGGGGTTCCCCGGGTTTGGGGCTCCCCAATCTGCCACTGGCCAGCCCTGCCCCCGAAGAGTCCCGGCACACCCAATGTGCCTGGCGCAGTGCTGTCATCTGGAGGTGATGTCATCGTGCCAGGCACGTTGTTCGGGGACGCTCTAGTGTTCAGGTAAAAACTCTATGTTGACCAATGACATGCTCCGCATGTGCACCAGAAGAGTCCCAGAGAAAGCCCCCCGCCAGGATGAAGATAAGACCTGGCAACCCTAGACTGCAATAATGAAAGAAACCAAAACAAAACTAAATAATGTGGGGGGGTTGTAGTTATAGGCTCTTTAGATGGGAACGTTTTTTGTAGTTATAGGCTCTTTAGATGGGAACTTTGTTTCCTTTTCATATTAATTACAGAACACCCCATTTTGTAATTATTATAATTAACAGTAAAAGAAATGCTCAGGTCTAGTAGAAGTGTTTTAACCAACACACTCTTTTAACTTTACCCAGATGAAGATGTTTGCAAGTCAGTTCAACATGGATGCCAGCATGTCTGTGTTAATAATAAAGATTCATATGTCTGCAAATGCCATGAGGGATTTATACTGGCTGAGGATAAGAAAACATGCAGAAGTAAGAAATTTTAATTTCTGTTCTCCCTGCAAGCCATTTAATTCCATATTTATTTGTTTCGAAAATGCTTACACTCGCAAATGCCAAGAGGCTTACAATAAATACTGCAGCTGATGTAAATAAGGCTTTTCTGACATAAACAGATAACTCTGAAACTCTTTATTTGCATCGAATGTTCCAAATATTCTCTAGAAGACTTAAACTACTCTGACACTTGTTCCCTCTTCCCTGGGAACTCTGGGATCTATAAAGGGACCTAGAGCTCTCTAGCAAATCACCATTACCAAACTACAGTTCCAGAGCTGAGGTGTGTGTGTCCGTGCTCTTGCACACGCTAAATAATATACTTTCAGTCCACTTTCAATACAACTTAGTGATCATTTGCAAGTGGATTTTGCCATTTCACACAGTAAACTCCAGTTGCAAAGTGCATTGATAGTGAATTGAAAGCACATTTTTCAGCATGTGTGAAAGTGCCCTCTGTGTGTGTAAAGCCACAATAATTAAACATCTGTAAAACTGTTAAAATACCCTGCTATTTGGATGTTTCTTCTTTTCTGCTTCCAGTTTCATTTGCAGTATGTCTGAATAATTACAGGGATTCAGGTCCATCCCTACCAATTTCATTCAAATGTCCTGTGGTTCATAAGGAATCACAAAGGGTCTGAGAAACGTCTTCACTATTACAATGGAGCACTTTGGTGAAATACACCCTGAATATGTTTGCCAAACAGCTGACAGGAGACACCAATCTCTGGGGCATCAAAATGGGTGGGAGGCTGGCTAGAATCAAGACTGTTTCACCTCTAGCCAAATGGACAGACCTAGGGTGATCTTCCTTCCTGAAAAACCTGACCTGACGGTACTCTAATGTTTGTCTTTATGAAGGGAAAAAATATTGACTGGTAGATTCTTCTAAAGAGTTTTAATTTTTTTTCCCAGGTAAAGACCTTTGCAAAGTCCATTGAGCATGGCTGTGAACATATCTGCATGAACAACAACAATTCATATGTCTGTAAATGCCATGAAGGATTCATACTAGAAGAAAATGGGAAGGCATGCAGAAGTAAGCTCCTCATCTTTATTGTACTTTCTTTCTTTTGCGGATGTCTGTAGGATCCTTCAGCTCCAGGATCCTGAGGTGGACTACAGACTCTTGAGGTTTAGCTGTGCTCTACTTGCAAGCCATAGATCCTCTGTTCCCTTTGAGCACTAACAATTCTCATAATAAAGCCTTCGACAACAAATTCTCATAATGATGACCAAATGTGCCATCTTTTCTGTAGGGTATTGACTATTTTGGTATGGCCATGTTTTTTCCCTAGAAAATGGGATGAGGGGTTTTATTGCATTTTAAATCTGATACGGTTCATGCAGCAGCCAAGGATATGGACTACATATCATTCCTGTCCACTTTTCAGGAGCTACAGAAGAGATCTCAAAATCCCATGAAGCTGATTCAGAATCTGATACTATAACATGTAATATAGTAACCACAGGGCCATGGATCTTCCACATGAAATCCCAATATGTAGGCTTGATTGTGTCTACACTTACCATCACCTTTACTTCCCTCTTTCCTGCTAGACTTTACAGAGTTACCCTAAGTGGAGTTAAACATCCTTCTAAGCCCATTGACTTCAGTGGACTTTAGACAGGTATAACTTCACTTAGGGTGGCATTGTATCCGATTCAGTCTTGCCTCCCCCTTCTTTCCCCCATGAGTTGCTCTTATGTGTCTGTTGAGGTATAATCTATTTTAAAGTATTAGTGCTTATTTTATTGTATTTATCGTGTATTTTGTTATTCTGTTTTTATGATGCAAATCTGCACTTAGCAGATTATTATAGAATGGAACCCACCCTGAGCCTGCTTTGCGGGGAGGGCAGGATATAAATGAAAGGAAATAAATAAATAAATAAATTGTAAGGCTGCATTCCTAAGCACCCTTTCTAGGGAGTAAGTCCCATTCAACCCACCAGGATTTATTTCTGAATATACATGCTGAGGATTGCACTATAAGGTACTTCTCCTGCAGAAGAGAGATGAATGGTTGGTGTCTCCTTATCCCACATAATTTCCCCTGCTGCTTCTGGACTACTGGGCAGGAGAAGTCACTGCTGCAACAGTGTAACTTAGGATCCAAGCCAATATACCTAACTGCAACCATATACTTAGGTGATTTATACTCCTCCAAAATCTGTTTAAGGAAACTACCTCTGCATTTTAAGTTCTCCATGATGTCTTCAAAGTTGACTGCCTTCTGATCTTCTTGCAATTTACTTGCCACTGGTATATAATTTTTACAACAGTATAACATGCTTTTATTCAACATTACACAAGGAAACTATTTTATCTTGACATTTTTAATGTCCTTGAACCAGGTTTTCATAAAATATGTATTTCTTTCCTTTCTTTTTCATTTCTTTAACAATACAGAGTGTACTGAAGGCCCAGTTGATCTGGTATTCGTGATAGATGGATCAAAAAGTCTGGGAGAGAATAACTTTGAAATTGTCAAGGAATTTGTAACTGGAATCTTGGACTTTCTTACAATATCTCCCAAAGCTGCACGTGTTGGTTTGCTGCAGTATTCTACTGAGGTTCGCACAGAATTTACACTGAATCAATTCAGCACAGCCAAAGACATGATAAAAGCAGTATCTCAAATGAAATATATGGGGAAAGGCTCCATGACAGGACTTGCCCTGAAGCAGATGACCGAGAGGAGCTTCACTGAAGCAGAAGGGGCCAGACGCTTTTCAGCAAAAGTGCCCAGAGTGGCTGTGGTGTTTACAGATGGACGGGCCCAAGATGATGTTTCGGAATGGGCTGCTAAAGCAAAGCACAGTGGTAAGATGGGTGTTTACTTAGAACTACCAAATTTAAGTAGCCAGTAAGAAACTTTCTGAAAAGCTGGTTCCATATATGTATGTATGCATATTCACGCCAGTCCAGAGTGCTTTGTGTGTTTGCATTAGAGGAGAGATCTTGCACAGTCGCCAAGAATGAAATCAGACATTTGTTAAGCAGTGGAGTGAACTTGGATGGACACTTACTGTGTTCAGATCCTTCTCTAGAAGGAGAAGGTTTACAGCAGAAGCTGGTTGGGTATGGTGCTGATTGGCTGACACCTGTGCTGTCACCTTCCCTCAATCCATGAAGCAGTTTTAACTGTTTTAAAAATGTTGCTAGGAAAAAAAGATGATGAATTGAAGTATAAATATACATATGGTGCTTATAAAAAGATGGACTCTGTGTGTGTGTGTATGTGAGAGAGAGAGAGAGAGAGAGAACATGCCCAGGGTGGGGAGTGGGGAAGGTATTAGACAAAACTGCAGCCACAAACTCCCAGCTCATCTTTAACCAACCAAAGGTCCAAATTTAGAACACTTCTGTAGAGTTACCAGAAATTATCAAGAAAACTAACACCCATTCTTAAAAAGTGGCCACACACACTTGGATTCCAGGGTCAACCACTAATTTATTGATTTTTAAGACGGGTAAAATTCAAAGAAGTTAGCATATCCTGGAAGAACAAAAGCTAGGAAGGAACTGTCAAAGTAGACATTTACAGACAGCAGAGCCAAAATCTAGAGAATCAGGCTTTTGATTTCTTGTGTTTGACGGGGCTCTTAACTTCTCTTTTTTGAACTCCACAGCAAGCTATTTGGGGGAGGAGGTATCAAATCAGTTTCAAGGCAGCATGTGTGGTTGCAGTTTTTAGTAAATCCTGCTGGACATACACAAGACCTGGCATATGGAGCTGTTTGGATTGTGGCTCATGAAGTCAGGAAGCTGAAAGGAAAAGTAAAGCAGAATAATTTAATTCTTAAGGCAAAGAATGTTGTCCTGGCTGCTGCTGCTGCTATCTGAAACCTATGAGGTTTGAAGTTACAAAAGCTATCTGCAATATACATTGTGGATCTACTTAGGCACTGAGATTATGGAGGCATATCAATTTTTTGGCACTGATGGACTGTGCACATCTGGAGGGCTATCACCAGGGCAGAATGGGAAAAATACCCCAGGAGTAAGCCAAGTTGACTGGTCCCTGCAGTTTTTCAAGGCAGTTCTGTAGGGGCCTCTTCCCTCAGACCTGACTATCACCAGTGATGGTCAATGTTCCCTCTAAGCTGAGTCGGTGTGAGCTAGCTCACACCGACTCAGCTTAGAGGGAACACTGGTGATGGTCATCAGGTCACCCACTGCCTCCTCCCACAAACTGTCAGTGGTATAGGAAGAGACAGTGGGTAAGCTGACTTTGATCAGTGTTGCTGCTGAAGAGGCTGAGCCAAGGAGCTCATCATGAGCTGCTGGCAGAGCTGCTGAGGCTTGGCTGTGCTTGCTTCTGACTGCCAATAGCCCTTTAAGGCAGGGGTCCCCAACCATTTTGAGCCTTTGGACACCTCTGGAATTCTGACACAGGGTGATGGGCACATCCACAAAATGGGTGCCACAGGAGGAAGAGCCAACCATAAAATGGCCACCAAAAGGGACACAGCCAACCACAAACACACAAAGGAAACCTAAGTACAGGGGACAAGAAGAGTAATGTTTAAAATACACTAAAAAAGAGGAGTGAGAGGGAGAATAAAACCAACGATTTAGGGGCAGCTGCTGCCAAAATGTTATTTTAATCTGTACAGCCAATCGGAAGCCCTGCTGGGCAGGAGTCCCACCTGGCCCCACTCACTTTCTAAAAATACTTGGCAGGCACCACGAAAGGTGTCCGGGGGCAGGGGGGACGACCTCCTGTTCTAAGGCATCAACCCACTGGGAAATTTCCCTGTAAGTCAAATGTCCAGTCCACCATAGGATGCCTGAGACTAGCAACATTCTTTTGTACATTGATAAGAACTAGCCCATGATGAGTTATTCTGTAGGACTGAGGAGATGCCAGGCCTAGGTGTACATCAAAAGGTTTGCAGTGAAGTTATGAGTTAAACATGACCTGCATGACTCCTTTTCCCATTGATAAACATGCCAATGATTATGCCAGAATGAGTGCCAGAGGTCAGTTCAGCCTCACAGCAGCCAGTAGAGTTATGCTGAGTGTGCATTTGGCTCCTAAATATTTCATTTTTGGGATTTTGTAATACTTGCTTAAAGAACAGCCTGCAATATGAATGGTTCATTCATGAAAATAAAACAAATCTCTGGAATAAGAGCTGTGGTTTTGCTCCTGGCTAAATACAAGGCTGTATAGATAATTTACAATGCAGGAATTCAGAATGAAAAGGGCTTATGTTGTTAGTTTTCCTGGAACAGAAGCAACGTGGAAGAAGGCAGTAGACATGAATGTCATTGCTGAAGGCACACACCCTTCCCCAGTGTTTCCACTGGGATAAGGAAACTGAAAACAGCAGCTGTCTTTACATATATTTGAAGACTTCTTCAGTAACAAGTAACAATCCATCCCCTTAAAGATGGATTTTCTTTGGATATCTGTCTTTAGGAATTTACAATGGAATCTGTAATAAAATTACATAGAAGGAACAGAGGGTTGGATCCAGCCAGCTTTTCCACTCAATCTCACCTAACTGTTCTCCTTGCTACAGCCCCCTTTCTATGTGGCTTTTGTCCCATGATCTTTTTATCCCATGATATTCAAGTGACTAAGGGGAAATCCCTCCAGCCTGTTTCAACAGTGGAAAAATGGGTTGCATCCAAACTGAAATCATATCTTTTTAAGACATACTTAGGCTACAGTCACACACACCAAATAATCCATTTTCAATCCACTTTCCAAATGGATTTTACTGTGTGAACTGGCAAAATCCAGTTGGAAAGTGCATGGAAAGTGGATTATTTAGTGTGTGTGACCCCACTCTTAGAGAATTTCTAGTGGCAAGGCAAACTATCCAGTGTGTGTGTGCGTGTGAATACACACACATATATACACTTATATATACACATATACATGCATATATATGTACGTATGTATATTTGGCCATACTTTAAACATCATTGGGGTGATAACATCCCCTATAAAATAGAGCAAGTGAGGAAAACAGAAGAATAGATGATATAAATAAATCCTAATAAAATATTCAAATACAACTGTATTACATGGTCTTTAGAAAATATTCAAATGGGCAGCCCAGCCCTAAAACCTGGAAGTGGTTGCATTGCCAATGCAAGGGGCAGCATAGCTAGGCAATATCTTATGCTTTTCTAGTTGAGGAAAAATAGCTACAAAAAACACTCAACTTGAAGAAACTGCAAGCGCAGCAGTTGAACTGAAGACGGTAGCAACCATACCGACACCCACCAATCATGAAGCAGCATGACAATGACAACCCATTATGGGTTCTGCCAACCAGTATGACCCTATTATCAGCATGTCTCCTTGAAGCGACTTACATGCAAATCACAACAGCTGAAGAAGCAAAGGAAATACAGCACACCATGCTCTAGGAAGAAGTGTAGTTTACCAGTAGGTGTACTGGAGCTCCAAGATGTGGGTTCAGTTCACTTCCTGCAACCCTTTCACCAGGCAGGTACACATGGAAGGAACCGTGATTACTCCAGCTACATCCCCCCAATTCCTCAACAGGAATTGACACAGACAGCCCCCAAATTATGCCCAAGACCTCTCCTGCCCAAGAGTTCTGGTCTTGGGGTAGGAGGGCAAGAGACTAAGGAACACCAGCCTTCTGCAAGGTGAAAGGTATGCAGATTCCAGGACAGCAACAAGAGAACACACAACTGTGCATTCACGGAAGACATTCCCATCACCTTCCCAATAGCTTGCTGGGAAGCTGACAAACAGGAGGCATGCACTTGAGGATGCTGATAAAATTATGAAACTTGCCTTTTAGTTGGCAAAAAAGTTGATCAGCAGCAAAAAATAGAAAAAAGGGGGAGGTTAAGACAACACAGTTCACACACTCTGAGTAGGCTTCTAACTATCTGGTCACAGTCACCTGTTGGGGTCGTAGTGTGACCACTGGGCCAGTACTTACTCATCCTTGAAGGGAATTGCATTGGATCTCTTGTCTGCACACTTTCCAGGGTTGGCTCTAAGGGCTTTGATTCTGCAAGGTAACAGGCATCATGAATGTTTGGTGAGAAGCTGGAAAGTTTAGCGTGGAGGGGCTAGCAGTCAATCTGGATTGTGGTTGTGTTCCCTGTGTCCCACACTTGCACGTGGGGTTACAGTAGTATGACATTGCACTGGCAGCATGGTGATGTATTTCAAGAATGCTTGCAAGGAATCCATTATTTCTGCACTCTGTATACTTACCCTGTGTGGGAGATGCCTTTGAAGGATGAAGGGGGATCCCTTGCTTACCTGGGTGGGATGCATTGTCCTTGCATCCCCAGTTGTTGGAGAGCTGGGTTGGTCTGCCTTTGGAACTTGGCTTGTGTGCTTAAGAGAATGGGGAAGACTGATCATAGTGGATATAAAATGAATCTGAATGAAAAGGGAAGAGGGCAATGAATAAACAATGCTGACATATTTGACTAGAAATATCTGTGGCCAACAGCTGTAATGAGGACTATGTAGAGAGTACTGTGCTTCAGCTTCAGGCTAGACACAGGCTGCATCCAACACACCGTAGAATATTGTGTTATCCTGGCACATATAGCAGTCCTTTACAACTGGATTTTCCTGTGTGAGCAAGGCAATCAAATTATGAATTATTACTATTGTGCAGTGGTGGCACAATATCCAACCATGTGTAGATACAGTCAGGTATAGTTAACCTTGAGATTAATGGTTCTTCCCCATGAATTTCAGTGTTTTCTGTTGATTTCAGACAAACAAATGTGAATGACTTTTTTGGATTAAGGCCTTTGCATATATCGCTAAGAGTCGGACACGACTGAATGGCTAACAACAACAACAATACATGTTGTTTGGGTGGAATTCTTTTTAGTTCAAGGTCAGCTACCATGCCAATTTAAAATTAGGTTCGAGGGTTTGTTTGGAAGGCACCTGATATAGCAACATTACTAAAATTGAGCAAGTCTGGATCTGGCCAGTGGTGTAGAAAATAAGCAATAAAAATATACAAAATAATTTGGAGCATAGATTCCCTCAAGCTGCTTACTTTCTGAAAAAATAATATCCACACCAAGCTATCTCCTGCCTCCACCCTGCAGAATTACCTTTCATAAGTAAAAGCGGTCATGTAATAGTACCTTATTATATCATCATGCTATCATAATGATATCAATTTATTTCTTAGGAATCACCATGTATGCT